CAGGGCCGAGGGAGGAAACTGAGGCCGCTGAGATGATATCCTTTATCACACGACCGCCACAGCTGCGCGGGACGTGGTGGCCGCACACCACGTATTGCACAGCATCGCCTTGCTGTGTGGGACAACGTTTTATGCCTCAGAGGAAATAGTTCATCCTCTAAGTTAGATATTGCTTTTTGCCATACGTTCGAGATCAGATTTCCATTATTGGCATGTAAAAGGGCGCCAAGTGGAAATTATTAATAATAGTAGTCGATTATCAGCTAATTTTAAGACGCAACAATTTTTTTCGGTAGGCAGTAATATAACAAAAAGTAGTACCGAAAGGAAATTTCTGATACCTATATTCGCGATGATGAACTTTTTCTTTCATGAGGTGCCAGCTTAGGCATTCTGACTTGATTCACTCTCCGAATGATGAACAAAGGCGAATCCGACTCTGTAGTCGTTCCGCCCCTCCGGCCCTGCTCTGCTACGTCACTATCGTGTGAAATCTTGGCGGTTGGCCTGAGATTCGCCCTCCGCTGTAAGGCCGCACGTAGAGTGTGACAGGACCGCACCTATCGGCCATGGAGAGTACAGCTGCCGGCGCGGCCGTCCGATGGCGCCATTGTAACGTAACTGCGGGGCTGATTTTTCTGTGGTGTCTGAGGACGGTCGTGGCGGCCTGTACATGGGGAGAGGGGGGAGGGGGAGACGAGGCAGAGCAGGGGACCGGGAGAGGGTGGTCGACTCGGGTGACGAGATCTTTGGTAATCGACGACTGTCTGGTAGTGTTGACTCGATCTGATTTTGGTGTTAGTGTTCCTTGACTCGGCCGCACGTGGGTAAGGCGATCAGCGAGAACCCCGGCTACCTGAAGCTGAGGAAGATCCGCGCCGCGCAGAACATCGCGCGCACGGTACGTTTGTGCTGCTGCGCTATCTATTTAACTTTTGAGGGTTTTATTCGATGGCTTAGTAGCGAAAGTCGGCTCTCGCCTTTTTGCTAGAACCAACATTTGAGAAAAGGTCAACACCATGTGGATGGGAAGCAGATTTCTGCCAATACGATTTAAAAGCTTTCTTGAGGACTCATCTATCGTAACTCGTTTGTAGATCCCATGGCCTGTGTGAGGCGTGTTCGGTTGGAACTCGTTTGATTTCACTCTCTGGTATTTCACAGATCGCCCAGTCACAGACAAGGTCTACCTCAACACGGGCACGCTGATGCTCAACATCAACGACGACCAGTTCGACGCCAGCGCCGACCGACTCAAGAAGAAGTAAACCCCGCGTCCCGCCGCCGTACCAGAGGTGGGAGACGGTGCAGTGTGCCTGGGACAGTGAGCCGGCGGCGTGGGTTCAATTCCGGGCGCGGGCGGACGGTGTTGCAACCGCGCGAACGCGCCAGACGGCTGGGCCTCGTGAGTTGGGTGGTGCCACTGTGGGTGAGCCGCGAGTGTAAGTGAGTTAGTGCTACACGTGAGGATGCGTCAGTCGTGGTGTGTGTGCCCGTTTTGGATGAGTTTTCGGTGAGCGCTGCGCTGTGTCGGAGCTGGCGGGCAGACGCCGGGCGGCCCGCGCGTCCCGTCGATTAGCGTTCACCGGAGCACGGGACCCGCGGGGCCGCGCGTCTGCCGCCGCCCCTATACTGATAGTGTCCGGAGTGCGCAGCGGCCGGCCGTTTACCGCCAGCTGCCGATGACCATATGAATACATTATTGTCATAAGTCAGTCAGTGCACTTTGGGTTCTAAAAAGTCTTGAAAAAGATGCATTTTGATCACCCAGTGATTTTAGCCCGCTTTCATTTCCACCTCCGTCATGTGGCTGAACCAGTCTTCCCATTTTCTACATTGTGTTCGTAACAAAGTAATATTCAACCTCGTTTTTCCATTATTTATTAAATCCCCAGCCATGCAAAATACACTCACAATATGGCAGCTGAAGACGGGCACGATTTTGTACAGAGTTGTTTGCACACAAAACAGCCAATGCGCTCGCTCAAACAAGTCTAGCTCCACACCCACGTACGCAGGGAGACTCGGCTTTCTTTAGAAGGTGCAAAAACTACTGTTAGGTCGCCACTTCATGCACAGTTACACCAGAAGCTGTTCATTTACGCTATGAGAGGTGGCTGTAGGGGATGGTTTACTCTGTATTCCTCAAAACAGACTTAGCTGTCGTAGCATGCATTATACATTTGCACGCGAAAGGCGACACCGGGGACAGGGAGGCTCTCTTTACATCAAATTACTGTACATACATACAGGGCAATATGCAAGTATACACGCTCCTTCCAATAATTGGGTTCTGTTTCGAACTAACAACCTCAGCAGCAGGGGTTGGTCGGATAGCAGCAAGAAGTGACGTTGAAGGGACAACGGCGGTTCTGACAGGCTGACTGAGGTTCTGACATTGCAGCTGTGCTGGTGTCTGTTGCTCTATGGGCTGCATGAAAACTTTCATATGGCACCCAGCCACATTTCACGGATTAGACGTTGAGTTTGTTGGACGCACACACGTGAATCAGGAAACACGCAATGCAACGTATTATCCTGGGATAAGGTGCTGGGTAGGGGTAAAATTCATCGCTCCGTTCAGACTCCATGGAGTAGAAATAAAGGTAAACCCGCATTAAATTGTGCTGACATGACTCATTGGTGCCGATGGTGCTAGTTGCTACTGCAGGTCAGGGTAAATTCACATGCTCTCAATTCAGATCAACTTATACAACGTTCACAGGGTCCCCACTCCCCAGTCAGTGACCCGGCTTTTGGGGCAGTGTCGTCAGTAGTGTGCCCCGTTTTGTACCCTCCCTTTAACCGTAGATACTCGGCAGTGGCTCAGGCAGTAGGGGCTCGATATGCCCTATTGTGGTCGTTATTTGTGAGTGATCGTAGAAAGGCTAAGGCAATTGGAGGTCAAATTTCGGAGTCCGTTCTGGGTTGATGAATATTGAGGTGACTGGTGATGAGTACTGAGTAGTGGAATCCATATTGACTATTTGGTGGCGTGCTCTGATCAAAGCTTATCCAATGGGACGATGATTACAGATCAACGCTGGAGTGTTGAGGAGGATTATAGTGTCCTGAGGATATGTGAGATGATGTTTTTCGTACTCCAGCGTAGATGGGTAGCCATACGGCTGCCACGGTTGACAGTGATGACAACAGTCATCTTTTGCAAGCTCGTTAAAGATTTGGGCTATACGGGGATTCGAACCCCGTATAGCCCAAATCTTTAACGAGCTTGCAAAAGATGACTTGTCATCACTGACAACCGTGGCAGCCGTATGGCTACCCATCTACGCTGGAGTACGAAAAACATCATCACGCTCTCAGTCCCAGCGGATAAAAACAACACCTAAGAATGTCCTGAGGATAGATCAGAGGGATCGGAGGTTGAATTAGGATTACTTGTGAGAAGTCTATGGTCAAGATGATTGGTATTGTCCTTTTTAAAAGTGTAGGTAGCTGATACGCTCTATGATCATGTTTCATGTTGATAACTATCCAGTTCCTATTTTGGTACTAGAAGACCCGTTGTGCTAACAAGTCAGCACATAGTGTGAAGATGGAATCGTCAATTCATGTCACTTGAAAACAAAAACAAATTCGTGCTGCCTCCGAGTGCCTCTCAATCCGGTGCACAGAGCCCGCCTGTCGGCCGACCCCATCACTCGAGCTTCGCTCTGCCGCCGCGCGATGTCGCTAGCAGACGGGCCTGCAGAGGCAGCGCGAGAGCGCCCATCACAAGGTGCCGCGGTGAGCCGAGTCGAGGCGCCGCTCCCGGCGCGACTTGTCCGAGGCGGTGTCCCGGGCCCGCACACAGACTGGTGGGCCGGCCGTTCAGAGCCGAGGCCGCCGTCAGAGAGGTCGACATGGGCGTGGCGCTCCACTGTTTGCCCCGTAACAGGCGCTCCTGCCGGCGGGATGGTTAGTGCGGTTAGTGGGCGGGTCATGCGCGTGCGGTGGCTAGAGGTAGAACGGGTTACAGTTGGTTAGAGTCGCTGCGTTAATGAGGATATCTGGGAAAGACAAGCCAGTTGGTTGTTAGTCATCGCGTTCCCACTCCGGCATCAGATCTGCCAAGAAGGATGTTAGTCGTTTAGGACTGAGGTCGTCTGTGAAAGACAAGGCTGCAGAAAACATATACTTGTCATGCTAACTTGCTAACTTCTTTGATGGCGGGGGGCACGATGGCACAAGTCACAAACCATGCGATCTTACCTGCCAACTTATCAAATTGGTAGATGCATAACTATGACAGTTGCATAGACGTGGGCATTGAGCGTGGTAGGACGTTGCATTTGTATATTAAAGAGTAAATAGACATTCGGCGACAAGTCAGCGAAGTACCAGTTATTCATCAATCAGCAATGCCCACTATATATGAAAATTATTCGCTTTATTGAAATGCTCAACGCATACATTCCAATAAATAAAAGTATCGTAACTATGCACACAATTGCAATCCAAAAGCTGACCGGCCTCAGACGGATTGAATCGAATCCGACACAGGCGGAATGGATACATTTCAAGCATAAAGATAAATCACTAAAACTGCGCACCTTAAAATATTAACGCAGTTAATCGTCTTTCTCATCACGGTGTTTCTATGAACATAGTACCTAAGTAATTATGGATGTGTGAGATCCTACACCCTGGCTGAAACTAATAACTTATCTACCTATGCGCAACGCTGCTATTCTATGTGTCCACAGGTAGGTAATGCAGAGTAGGTATAAATATCGAGCACGCTGCTGCTCATTACACGCTAAAAATAAACCGACACACTATAAATGTATGAAAATAGTGTCGACCCCAATCGGTCGGTCGTCGTTTCGTTCGCAATGTAGGCTCGCTCGTGCTGCCATCTGTGATTGACCTATGGAACTTGTCTGTCAACACTGACTATTCAGCTCTAGACTTCGTCACTCTCCGCAACATTACCGAAACCTGACCGAAATCGCCTCACTCCTGCATCAAGAGTCAGGGAAACATCTTCGACAACCTCACGACCCCTCAGTAGCTCTCCCATCACTCCGACCACAACGCCACCTATTGCCATACTCGCGAACTGAAGCTTATGACGTCGCCTATGAGCGGCGCCACGACCACCGGTCGGGACTCACCAGGCTGACACAGTGCAGCACGGCGGCGCCGACCGAGCTGCGTCGGCACGCCATCGGCGGCTCCTGCTTCCACCGGTTCAGGCGGTCGTCGTAGCTCTCCACTGTGTTGAGGGAGGAGCTGCCGTCGTTTCCGCCCACGGCGTACAGACGGCCACTGACGTGAATAAGCTCGTGGGTGGACCTGACGAATGGGGGGGGGGGGACAGGGGAGGGTGCAGGACCGTCAGTGGGAGTTTCGAACTTCGGTAGGCATAAAGAGCTTGTGTAGGCATACAAAAACTCGTGTTACGAAGATAAACGGCAGTCGCAGAACATGTGGCAGAGATTGTATCTATATGAAGTATGCATGGATAAGTCTAATGATAGCTCTTACACAGTAAACACTGCCTTATCCTTCTCGCATCTACAGCACTACACCCACTCCCCCGGCCGTTCCCTCCGTGCGCGGCCACATCATTCATCCACTACCGGCGATAAGTCAGGCTCACGAGACATCCTGCCGCATCGGAGCACCAATAACACTAATGTCTCTCCGAGGGCGGATTGCGGCCGAGATTTCCCCGCGCACGCGAGGGTGGTAGTCGCTCCTTTCTGGGGGTTCTCCGGGCCGGCTGACGGACGGTTTCTGGACTGGAGCGCTCGTTTGGGTGGTTTATAGGGGGGTTCGATCGGCGGCTACGATCTCATAACACGCCAGGAGGAGACGCCGAGAATGGATGTCCAAACGGAGAAGGAAGAGAAGGTTGTGCATGTGAGATAAGAGAATCGAGTGAATGAAGAAAAGGTTGTGGGAGACATAAGAAGATCGGGCGATTGGCTTATAAAATACCGAGTCGCAGGCTGCGACCCGTCCAACCGGGTCGCGTCTAAACCGGGTCGCTGCAACTCGTAGCGACACGGTGTGGAGGATCCTGAAGGTCTCTTGTGGCGCACTCCTCTGCAATAGCAAGACAGCGACATATCGTGCAAATAAGGAAGAGAAGCCTTGCCTTGAAACCTCGATCTAATTATCAGTTTAAGTTCGCTTCATATTCTGGATTACTAAGCACATGCGCCCCTCACCTGCGCGACTGCATGCTGGCGATGGTCTCCCATGTGTTTCTGCGGAGGCTGAATTTTTCGCCGGTGGCCTGGCACATTGTTCCGTCGTTACCGCCGACACAGTAGAGCCAGTCGCCCACCGTCTCCACGCCGCAGCTGCTCCGCCTGCCGAACGGAACAACATCGTACGGTATAGTCGAACAATATCGGTGGAGCGGTGTTTGTATTAACCCGCGCCCCGCTGGGGGGGGGCAGAATCTGCCCCCCCTCCCGTTTTTCGCCAATAACTTCTAAACGCGTTACGCCAGCGACGTCAAACTTTCAGTACCTTATCATACATCAATTTGACACGTTCCCTGAAAATTTGAGCGAAATCCGTCGGAATTTTTTTTGAGAAATTGCCGTTTTAGTGACGTCATGTTCGCCATTTTCGCCTAAAAAACGGCAAAATTTCAAACGCCGCTAACTTCTTCATTTTTAAAGGAATCAAGACGTTACAAAAAAGGTTATACGCGATTCTACTTTGTCTATCAAATGGCTATCTCGGTTTTTTGAAAATTTTGGATTTTGGCCAAAATTTTTCCAAAAAACTGACTTTTTTGGGAAAATATTTATAAAATCCAAAATTTTGAGTTTATCGAAAAAAAACCGGAATATATGTCAAAGAAGTGGTCTATGTGCACCTACATACCAATTTTTAGAAGAATCGGTTCAAAAATGTGGGAGTTATTCAAAATTTTATGACGTCACGACACACAAAAATTTTGAAAAATCATTTTTTTGGAAGTTCTAGACCTCGTACGGAAATAAAAATAGCACCATTCGATTCGCCGTGAAAAACTGCATCGGATAGACACCTTTTTAGGCCTTAACAACCAACTTCAAATTTGACCTCACTTGACCTGACCTTGACCTGACCTCGACCTGAAATTCATCCAGAGGTGGTCCATGTCACTTATTGAGTGTGCCTATTGAATTCCATGAGTAAAATGACCCATAAAACATGTGTCGCACATGCCCTTTTCTATATTTTGTTTTTGGTGACCTGACCTGACCTGACCTGACCTTGACCTTGACCTTTGAATGACATTGTGTGCAACGAATATTATCTTGGTAGTCTAAGAACACGTTTTGGGCAATCAGTCTCAGTCCATTCTTCGGGAACTACGGTGCAAGGCCGATTCTGTAGAAACTTGCATTTTGTACCCTTGACCTGACCTTGACCTGACCTCTGACCTACTTAAGCAAAAAAATTTGGGCTCTTAAGATCCGCCTTGTTGAGAGCTTTCGATTGCCGTTTTCCCCGTCTTTCTACGACCATCGGTTCGGAAGTTAGACAGGGGGGGCAGAATCTGCCCCCCCCCAGCAGGGCGCGTATGGCTGAATAGCCCAGCGGGGCGCGGGTTAATTAAAGGAAAATTAAAATTGATACATGTGCAGTGCAACTGCACACGTGCACACTTCTAGTTCTCCAGTGCACACAAAACTGTGCGCACTGCGCACAGCTTTAGAGCCTGATGCGGTAGGTTGGCCTCTGAAAGGGTATGAGCCTCAATTATAAGCTTGTACAAGGCGTCGTGAATTTAATAAGGCACAACCTTGTCTGCTCTTCCCAGCCGTTCTCGCACAAACACATCCTTTTTAATAAGCACGGATCTTGTTAGAAAGATGTGAAATTAGCATACGATCAAGAGACAGGTCCGTGCTTGAATACCGAATTGAATACTTTGTGTTAACCAATTCATCAGACTACGGCTGGTCATTAGTACGACTATAATTTAACATCGCTCCTTTATCCTCGATAGCATTATCAACGACGAATGCATTCAGAATAGCAGCTTTCAACAAGAATTCAACTGTCCATGCATCAAGAATGCATCTCCTAATATCTAGTCATCTACAAAAAGTTGTCACAAAACACAGGAGTCCATTTGCTACGACACCACGAAGCGGCAATCACGCCAAAGAACACAATTTCTTTGTGTGCTGGCGTGACACCAAGTTTTCCCCGTTCCGTGCGATACATCGCTGGCTCCCACGGGTGTTAATGGGCTTGCAACGCTGATGAGAAAGGTGCGTGACGGGGAGGGTCCGGGGGCGTCACATCGGTCACTGGCCCAGCGTCACCGCCCGTGACGCTCTCCTCGTCACCCCGTCACACCCCGTGACTAAACGTCACACAAAGAGCCGGCAAACGGGGAATGACGCGGTCCGTCACGCCGGCGCGGTGGTGTGCTTTCATCCAGCGCCTGGACAGTCTGGAGCTAACACGTTTAGTCCGTATGTGTCGATTTTTTATGTCCTGTAGGTAGTCAATACCCGTCAGCTAACACCGTGCAGTGTAAGCTGCGTAACGCAATCACTTTCTAAAGGAACTGTGAGAAGCGTAAAAGCAGACGCATAGCTCTAATGATGCAGCGTTACTACATGCATGTATTCGTTCGTACACGGCCTGACGCACCGCGCTAATGGGGAACTGACTACTGTGGTGCTCTTTGACCAGTATCGAAACGCAGGTACGTTCATAGATTATTACAGGCCATTCATGGTAGTGCTGAGACAAGGGTCTGGGTCAAAATGTTGGAGGTTATCGGCGTGAAGAGAACGTTTTGGTCGGCGTTGAGTGCTGACTGGTGTCTAAACCTAGAAAATAATGGCACAGTTTTTAGCCTGTATGCTCCTGGCTCTTGCTGTTGCCTACATGCTCTACCTCAAACCCTGCCATGCAGCTCAGGGCTTACAGCATTCCTTTCATTTCCCTCTTGCCCATTATTTTTCTTTCGATTGTCAGTTTCCCAAACCACTAATCGATCCATTCAGTTCTGGGTTTTCAGCGACGATGTTTCCTTCAATTCCATCCCGTCCTCCGACTTCGGCCTCCGCTCTCCATCCTACCTCTAACTCACCCTTAGCCCCTCCTGTGACCTCCTTCAGCTCCTACGACCTGCCCCCACCCCGCCTGCGGCCGACACCGACGTGCGATAATGCTGAACGATGGAGCCATCGGAGGCAGGCAGACCGCACCGCTGCTGCCAAATCCAACTGGCGCCACGCCGCGCCATGATCGCCTAATGCGGCGTGCTGCCAACTCGTCTCTGGCACCGTCCAGCGGCGGAAATGAGATGGCCGAAGGTGAAACAAATGACAAAAACCCGATATCTATTATCGAACTAACTGATCACGCGTTCTGCCGAGCACGACGGATTTGGCTGGTTGGAAAGGGGACTACATTTCCAACGTAAACTTTGTTAGACATGCTTTCGTCAATGATGATGGATTACAATTCAAAGTTTTTGATCGTTCGTTTGACTCTGAAAGTGACAATTGGAGTGAGATGTGTCCGGTCCTACATATTACGCTACATGCCACATGGGCAATATTGTCGGTACTTCACATACTAACTAAGTGGATCAATACGTGCCTCGTTAAAACTTTATCTGAGTAAAACTAGCGGCCCACGCAGTTTCGGTCAAAGTGTTCTGTTTTGAATCTCTCGAACAAGCGCGGTGCTCTATTTACATCTAGTTTCCAGGCACCCCATATATTGTCTCATGGTCTGTGGGTCAGTCCCTATCTGAAGACAAGCGATATCGCGTGTGGCAGACTCTTCATCTCGCTGCACTGACCTGCTGGACATGGGCGGCAGGCTGGTCCACTTGTTCATCCTGGGATCGAGACGCTCCACGGTACTGAGGTAGGAGGCCGAGTCGAAACCGCCGATGGCGTATAAACAATTATCTGTAAACGGGAAAAGGGCAAATATGATTTCCTAAAACGTTTGATTGATTTTACAAAGAAAAAAAAAATCGCAAAGAAAAGACGATTTGAAACAACTCATAGCGCAAAAAGGTGCATCATAAATATGTATACTCAGCGCATCAATGTACAATTGGGGTGTCACGCGGGCTCGGCACTGACCCAGGACGGCGAGTCGGCAGTAGCGTCTGCGTGAGGTCATCTGGGGCAGAGAGGACCAGGTGCCGGCCAGAGGGTCGAACCGCTCTACGCTGCTCAGACACGAGGCACCGTCGTACCCTGTAATAGACCACATGGTCAGACGAGTTAGGGACTTACTTGGGAGGCGCGCCATCTGAAAACCTGGCAGACCTCACATGGTTAAACGGGTCGCTAGCGACAGATGGGGTCGCGCAATGCGTCTGTGACTATGCGATGTTTCTTCTGTACTCTGAGGTGATCCAGCGTCTTATACACTTATCTGCTTATACTTCTACCAACCCCATGATTTGCATTCCGCCGGATCATTTCGCTTGGCATTTTCAGAGTCTGCCTCTCGCACGTTCATAGCGTTTCGGAATTCCTTTTAGACCCGATAGAGGTAATCCTCTTGAGCCCTTCCAAATTAGGAACTTGGAGGACGGACTAAACGGGCTACATAACTTGTGAATGTAGTAGTCATGAAGCGAGTTCGTTTCTAATTGCATCGTTGTAATGTCCAGAGCAGCAGGGTTTTCTGGTAGGTTACTAACTCCGCGCAATAATGCAGTCTAGTCTGGCTGGATCACGGGAGACGCGACACTAAACTGTCGGGTGCAGTGTCCAGTGTCTCCCCCTCCCGTCCGGTGCGCTCTAAAGTTGGGCTATTCATCGTGAAGATGAGGCTGCCAGGGCTTTAATGGCTCTACGTTTATGAGAGACATCACCATTAGGCATCCAGCCAGAAAAAAAGTGGTGACAATTCAATTCACTCCGCCCAGAGCCATTAAGCTGGACCACCACCACAGAGTGATCTCAGTTTTCAATCATTTCTGGCTTCAATTCACGCTACGCTATCCCATTTCGATATTAAGCTAGCCTAGTGCTGGAATTAGAGCTTGCTCGTAAATAGCTGGTGTCCCGATTTCACATTTTAGCATGAGAACTTTGGCGTAAACGACGGATGGATAATGGATTGCAAAAGTCATCCCTTTTGTGAAAACAAATCTGGGATACATACATGTCTCAGCGGTGCGGCGCAACGGAAGAAATCGTCGATGAGAAAGACAATGGGTTAATGGAATAAATGGATTAGCATTGGATGTCATCGACACATGTAAAAACAGAAACTGTGAGTGATATACAGCTTCTCACATTTAAAATGCACTTTTATTCGACCAAAGCACCACTCCTGCAACAGCCATCACCCTGCTCTCTGCCTCTCACCATCCCTGAGGAACCCCCACTTACCTCCGCAGCAGTAGATGAGTCCGTTGAGGCCCGCCGCGCCGAAGCAGCTGCGTTTGGCGCCCATGGGCGTCACGTAGCTCCAGGTGTTGGAGAGCGGGTTGTAGCTCTCGGCCGTGTTGAGGTCGCCGCTGCCGTCGTAGCCGCCGATGACGTACAGCAGGCGGCCGTCGCTGGCCACCCCGGCCCGCGAGCGGCGCGTGTTCATACTGGCCACCGAGAGCCACCGCTCCAGGCGCGGGTTGTACACCTCGCACTCGGAGTGGACCGCGAACAGACTGCCGCCGCCTGCCGAGACGGAGGGTCAAATACATAACTGACTTATTAAATTGTAATAAACATATATCTTTACAAAAATATAGCTGTGCCCTGTGGTTCTGATTTCTCCTTGAAGATAGGAACAAAACTAGTGGATCACAATAACTAGATCACAAACGTTCAATTGGATTAATTCAGTAATTTTTATGGTTGACATAAGTTAATACTTTTCCAAAAGCAAATTGCTTTCTCGGTCCGTCTACCCGGTATAGCTCGTTTATTTCGTCAGCATTTTGTTATTGCTGCTCCATAGCAAACAATGGGTGCAACCGACTAATACCAGGACAAGCAGTCACCGTGCTGGGCCAAAAAAGTCCGACGAAAAAAAGTGTTTATTCCGTGTGGCCTGAATGCTAGCAGCTGAGTGGAATTAATCTGTCTGCCGCGGGGGATCAGAGAGATTCGGTGGAATGCAGACTGGGCATCAGGGTTCAGTGGTCGGGTATACGGTCGGTAATGGTAAATATCAAATAGGGAGTATAATGCGTCGTAATAACTGTTTTGGATCGGATGACTTGCGAAGAATAGCTTTTGTCCAGCAAGGCAAGGTTGTGTTTGGTGAGAAACATTAATCGTACCTAAGACCGCGACTTGAGCAGGTAGATAGTCGATTTGGAACATGTTGTTTACTGACCAAATAATCAGCAAGCAGCGCACATTTTTCTGATTTGCAGAAATTGTGAAAGTGAGCATTCCCAGCATCTCATTTCATTCTAGCAGGACCGTCTTTTCTCAGCTGATCTGCCGAGTGCCGGGATTAGCTCACTGATCTTCCCGTTCATAGATGGCGCTAGGGGTAAACGCCTGGAAGTATACTGTGCCGCACGGCTGAGACTGCTGCAGCGTTCGCGTCTTTGGACACATCATCGTAAAACGTCCGATACACAAGCTAAACCGAGTAACTGTACAATATTCTCTAGCATATTTTATTTGTATAAGAGATCCCTTCACGTATGTCCTTTCACCGAATATTCATAGGACCGAATTACTTTTTCACACTGCCACGATAAAAACTGCCACATCTCTTCAGCTACCCAATCACTATCTCTCCTCTCTTACATCCTTCCTCCCTCTCCAATTTCTTCTCTCCCTCTCCCTCCTCACTCCACCTCTCCATTTCCATCTCCCTCCCTCTCCCTTTCTCTCTCCTCCCTTCCTTCCCGAACTAACCGACAGCGAAGAGGTAGGGCGCGGCGGCGTCCGGTCGTCTGTCCGTGGTCCGTGAAGACACCATGGAGGCCCTCTGTTCTGGCAGCAGGTGGTACTTCAGGGCCTCCAGCAGCAGCTCGCGACACGCGGCGTCCTCTCGCAGCAGTGGCTCCTGGTCCACGGTGCCGACCAGGAAGTCGCGCGAGAGCAGGGGCAGCTTCACGTGCGACATCAGCTGCGACATGTCCAGACGGAGGGAGATTAGGCGGGGAGGCTAGATAATTAGAGGTTTTGGAGGTTTTGGTGATGTTACTTAAATTACCGGGAGCGTGTTTGAATAAAACGGTCTCGGTAAGTCACGCATATGACGAAATTAAAATGGAGCATTCTTAGATTGTATAACAACAGCAACAGCACCCAATGTGCGCAAAACATATTTCAACAGCCATAGCCTAAAGTCGAATGCCGTTGCATTGGACAATGGACATAGAACTTGGGAAGCGTGGCAAGAAACCATCGCCAATCAATGATGTTGATTGATTGCGTTGCTGGAGCGGACAATCAATCATCAGCGCAGGAATAATACATTGACATGCCCTTGCGATATGCCATTACTCACAAACGCTCACCAACCGTGAATGCTATCATTTTGTGCATATTTGTCATTGCGGAAAATACCGGGGAATGCTACCACCTTCTATAAGTATCGAGCAGGCGTCACCATGGTTATTGATTTCGCGTCAGGACCTCTCAGCATGCAACGACCTAATCACTAATGTACAAAAATGGGTAGGAGCAGGCTCTGAGTGTTATGGGCCATAACATTCTATACCCCGCAGTTAAAAATGATAGCCGGTCGGATACGAGTGGCCCCAGTCCCCAGTCCCCTGGTGCCAAGTTCTGAGGACGCGGTGATAAACAGGGTGCTGGCACGCCACTGGTCGAAGCAGTAGAGTATAATATTCGGATTATTATCTGAGGGACAGTCGGAAATTTGGAATTCCTTTATCACTAACCGTGCAGCCACAGCGGAAATAGGCTATAAACTGATACGGGCTGATTTAGTATCGGGCGTGGCCATGGATTCAGATCAGTGTCATGAACAGCAAGGCGGCTTTGCTGTTCGGAAAAAAATATTGACAGATTCGCGCATTTGTCATTCCAGAAGAAAAGTAAGAACATCAAAGGGTCTGAGACTTGAGGGATTCCCAGTGCTAAACTGTTGGCCGCTTCATTTAGCGACTAACCACGCTCCAACGCTAATTCATGAGTACGCTAGCGGAGTTTTTTTTCACTGAAGTTCATCTCTCCCCGGCACATGCCACGTGGTTGCACTCACCTCTGCCACATGCTGTTTCCTCTCGGCCTCGTCGTGCCGCACCCATTTGACCACGGACCGGAACACCGTCTCCTCGTCCGCCACGTTCATCTGGTTGCTGGCAATCAGCTCGTTCACCTGGGCACCAGGTGAAACGTCTCAGAAATCAGTCACAAAAAGACGTTGATTTATGAAATGCTGCACTTGAGATTTACTTTCTGAGAAACATCTCAATCAAGGTAAGGTAAATATAACACCCAATGAAACAACTATATCGCATGTTGACGATTGTGGGACATATTTCAGCGGCCGCATCGTGACGTTTTCCAGGCTTTAGGCACAAGTCTGCATAGAAACTTGTTTCGTGTTCGGAAACTGGAAAACAGGCCGTCACTCGTCATTTAACGCTTGAAGACCAGAGTCAACGGACGGGCTAGCCGAAAAAGGATGACAAAAACAGGCCTCTTAGAATCAATTCAATCGTCTATGGAATTCCTAGTTACTATTAGTTGTATAATTAAATTGTTATGAAGGAAAAATGAATTATGCTGCGAGATTTACGTTCCAAGATATCAAAATGAGACTTTAAATCGCACTATTTGCCAAACAAATTGGCGAAATTTTCATTTAATGATCGATCAACTATAATGTTAATTCACTTTCAATTTTATTTTTCACGAGTTTATAACAAGGCCGCTGCGAACTGCGCGCGTTTCGCTGTGTCCAGGTGGCTACCGCGTCCAAAATAGGCTCCTTGTCTGAAGCGTGACTATCGGGCTCTGAAAAATTTAGCTTAACCCGCGCGGGGCTGGGGGGGGGTAAATTTTACCCCCCCTCGCGAATTTTTGCGATATCTCAAAAACAGCGGCGCGCAGCGCCGCCAAACTTTCAGTACCCTTTCTTACATCAATTTGACACCTTCCCTGAAAATTTGAGCGAAATCCGTCGGAAAATGTTTGAGAAATTGACGTTTTAGTGACGTCATGTTCGCCATTTTCGCCTCAAAAACGGCAAAAGTTCAAACGCCGCTAACATCTTCATTTTTAAAGGAATCAAGACGTAACAAAAAAGGTTATACGTAATTTTACTTTGTCTATCAAATGGCTATCTCGGTTTTTTGAAAATTTTGGATTTTGGCCTAAATTTTTTCAAAAAACTGATTTTTTTGGGAAAATCATTATAAAATCCAAAATTTTGAGTCTATCGAAAAAACCGGAATATATGTCAGAGAAGTGGTCTATGTGCACCTACATACCAAATTTTAGAAGAATCGGTTCAAAAATGTGGGAGTTATTCAAAATTTTATGACGTCACGACACACAAATTTTTTGAAAAATGACTTTTTTGGAAGTTCTAGACCTCGTACGGAAACAAAAATAGCACCATTCGATTTGCCGTGAAAAACTGCATCAGATAGACACCTTTTTAGGCCTTAACAACCAACTTCAAAATTTGACCTCACTTGACCTGACCTTGACCTGACCTTGACCTGAAATTCATCCAGAGGTGGTCCATATCACTTATTGAGTGTGCCTATTGAATTCTATGAGTAAAATGACCCATAAAACATGTGTCGCACATGCCCTTTTCTATATTTTGTTTTTTGGTGACCTGACCTGACCTGACCTGACCTTGACCTTGACCTCTGAATGATATTGTATGCAACTAATATTGTCTTGGTAGCCTAAGAACACGTTTTGGGCGATCAGTCTCAGTCCATGACTCCATTCTTCGGCAACTACGGTGCAAGGCCGATACTGTAGAAACTTGCAATTTGTACCCTTGACCTGACCTTGACCTTGACCTCAAACTTTAAATTAAGTACATGTTTTTAGTAGTTCGTGATGAGAGCTTTCGATTGGCGTTTGAATTTTTTAAATCGGACCATTAGTTCGGGAGATAACAGGGGGGGGGGGTAAAATTTACCCCCCCCAGCCCCGCGCGTTCGGCTGGAGACCCCAGCCCCGCGCGGGTTAAATCGATGCCGACAGACGAGTCTTTAGACGAGCTCGCCGGTCGTTTGTAAGTGATTAAACACGGTCCAATGCGGCTGACCTCTCAGGTTATTGAGGCCACACCGCCCTACCGCGATCAATGGATGGTCTGAATCACGGTCCAAATTCGCACGCTAGCGCGCGGAAAGTTTTTAGGGCTCGTTTGACCGCTGTCAAGGGAGGGGCAGCCCCGCCCAAATTACCTGTTTGAAGGGCAGAAACAGGAACTCCTCTGTGCCGCACACTTCTTGGAAGTTCTGCAGCGCAAATTTGTGAGAGCGTATGTGAAGTTCGTCACAGGAATGGGTGTCTGAAACAATAAATTTCTTGCTAGGTGGTTTCAAGTATGTGTTAATGATAATTCTTACTTCTATCTACCTTAATTTAATTTATTTCTGTCAACTATTGATGTCAACGATAAAATGTTTTGTGCTTGTGGTAAAGAATAAGAATGACCTCAATGGCTTTAGTTAACGTCTACAATCTTACTAAATCTTACTAATCTTACTAACAATCTACAATCTTACTTGCCTTTTTTCTGTCAACTATTGATGCCAACGACAAAATGCTTTTTGATTGTTATCGTCTAGTGTTGCGCCTCGTAACACCAAATCCGCTCTTTGTGGTCAAGGCTACGACCAATTACCTACACGGCTCTTCTAATTATGTTTTACCTGCGAAGCTGCGTATTCCGAGGCAATTGGAGGGGTGCAGCTGTTTGAGCAGGAAGTAGCAGCACGCCTCCCTAACACCGGTCAGTTGAAGTAGACTGGAGGCGGGTAGCAGGACCTGGAACAGCCGCCGACGGCGACAGACGCATGTCAAAGGTCAGAGTCAGGTCAGAGGTCAGAGACAGGGGCTCAACTCGGAGTGCAATCAGGGGATGGAGCTTTGCAACTTCAATCAATAATGCCTACGAAGTGAAGAAAAGTGGTTCTTTCCAAGTGAACAATGCACATCATCCTTCATATAGCACAGAAAGCGTAATTGCATCGCTAAGCTAAGGGCACGAAAGCCGCAAGACAAATAGCAAAGGCGAGTGCTATTTATAGAGCTTGCAATTATCCATAACCTCACATGCTTACTGACATATTCCTAAGGCACTCTAACGTATTTCAATGCCTGTTGCTAAGCAACCTGTCCAAACATTTCCGCACACAAAGCCCCAAATGACCTTCCGTCGCACACCACAACTCCTGTCTGTGGCGAGTATTCACGGCACGAAGCTCTCTCGTATACGTGAGGCCGCCGCCAAGTCTTTCAGCGGTCGTTGACCCCGACCGTGACCTTTAATTAGGCCGGGCTGAGTCCGTCCGGACATGTTTCGCTTAGCCGGTCACGGGAACTCAGCGCGATGGAAATCGGGACTCGCGAGGTGCGGGACTCAGGCATGAAACGTAAGGTAACCATGAAATATCCAGTTCGGTAGCAAACACCAAACTAGACATGGAGCCAGGCACAGTGCAGAATCAGTGCAAATCACATGCGGAACCAGCACGATATTTAATTCCAGTCACGATAACATGGGGTTATTACCAGACCTGAAACCGGTGCGTTAGCCAGACACGGAATCAGATATGAAGCTATTGCGGTAACCACACGCGGAAGTCACTCCCCGGCTGGCAAGACATGCTAGCGAGCTGCCACTGGCCATGGTGGTCGGCCATGTTCGCTAGTCACGTAAAGGTCACTGGCAAAACTCAGCATAGCGAGGGCTCAGGGCTCATCCCACCGTGGCGAGATAATTGGAGACTAATCCCGCTGGTCCAGATCTGCTGATTCGCTATATCGAGAAGAGGATTACGGGAGAGGATAAACCATGATTGGATTACTGTGTTTAGTTGGTTTGGTTACAAAAGGTGCAGCAGCGTAAAAGATACTTTTTAAATACAGCTTTTAATGACAAGGAAACAACAAAATTTAGTCGTAATATGCGATAGATGGCAGGCACCAAAATGAGCTACCATTCAAAACAAACCTGAGTCGGATCAGGACGTCAACAATCAGTGCAGTATGCTGCCACGCTGTTCCAGCTCACACAAACAGATCCATTTTGATCCGGCCGTCGATTTTACTCCATCAACCCGCCAACAACAAACCGCTCCTAAAATATCTCCGCCCCGCCAGCGGACAAACAGCCAGAAGGCGACACAGAGATAGTCAGAGACGGCAAAAACCGACACAGTCGGCGACTCATTGCATCAGCGGACTCTGTCTGCCGGCAAAGGCTAAGTAGTTTCTTGTGTGCCATTAGCGGCGCGTTAGTCGCGCCAGTACCGCCGCAAAACAGCGTCCGTCGTCCATCGTCGCTGCCGCGGCGAACTCGGCGGCCCCGTACGTCATATTCCTGTGCTGAGATCGATTGGAGCCGGGCCGCCGGCCGATCGCGGCTCGTCGCGGCTCTGTGGTCGGTTTGGGCTGGCTGGGTCGACCGGGCGCCCCCGGCTGGGCAGCGGGGCCGGCGCGGCGGGGGCGGCGGGGCTGGGACGTCCCAGGTGCCCTGCACGCCGTCCGGCAGCTGCAGTTGGCAGCCAGGTATGGAGATGCTCACAAAGACGACCCTGGCAGTGTGACGAAGAAAACCTGGCGCGGCACCAGAGCGGTCTGACGCAGGCCCGGCGGGGCACTGGAAATAACGGGGAGACGCAGTGCGGCGGACACAGGCACTGCGCAGGACACGGGCGGACCCCACACCGGGGCTGCCGGATGTTTGTCCGACTCGCAGAGGCCAACACTGTATGGATGAACACGAAAAGAAAATAGTCCTCGCTGCTGTTTTATTTTTCCTTGAAGATAAATTTTATTATTTGAACATCATGTCATCAGTACTTTTACTTGTATGTACTTACATGTTACCTATGTTTCGCTTATTTTATGAATAAAAATAGTGTTATATCTTCGGTAAAAGGTGCTTTAACATGCAAGGCAGAGTTTCATTAGTAATCAGAGCCAATGAGATGAAAAATCCTTGCCATACCAAAACGGAACAAATTTCTCACGCACCTCCACCCGTGAGGCGTCATGTGTGGTCTGTTCTTTTCTGTCATCGCTGACCGATGACGCCCGTTGCCATGGTGATCCGTCACTGAGGACGGGTCGGGCGCGGCATATCGTGTCCACTGGCCGATGAGCACACATATAGGGTCGGCCGATCTGAACATGGAGCAGGGACCGGGAGGCGCTTAGGCGGTGATGTAGATGTGATTGGTAGGGAATTATGGGAAAGATGCATCTGTTATCTGTACAAAACCCATCGTGTACACCGTGTGACCATGACTAACGTAAAGCTCCATAAATAAAAAGGTCCTTTAAATGAACCATTTGATCCTACCATGGACCTTGTTGACGTACGAGAGTAATTATCTAACGTAAAATACTCTGGACGTAAGGCTGCAGGTCAACGCCCTCTGCTACACAAAGTGTGCCGGCCTAGCAACGCAGCACCGCTGTGTCGCCACACAGACTGCACGAACCGACCGTCTAGCTGACTGATGACCTGAGGTGACGGGTCGCCGGCACGAAACACATTCAGCGACTGAAAAGGGCAGGAGGGAGGGGAGGAGAGGTTACGTCTGTAGACAGTGCGTGCGGTAGTCTTTTCAGTCATCGTCACCGTCATTTTTATCGACGTTCGTAACAATCGTCGTCATCACGAGTGCCCGAGTGTCTACATGCAGCCGCCACTGTCACCGGCTCTAGCACGCGACACTCGAGTCACAGCTGTCAGCGATTGCTTAGCAACAGGCATCACCGCCGCGACGCCGCATTAATGTGGTCACAGCTGCCTTCTGTGACAATGACATGGTGCCATTGTAACATATCTGGTATTTGCTTTTCGACTAAATACCACAATCTCAGAAGACATCATTTGTGGTTGAACTATTGTCCGGGGCAAGGAATGAAATAGGTATAAAACAATGCTTGAAAATATTTTTGAACATTATAGGCGTGGAAAAGAAGCATAAGAGTAGAAAGGCAAAGAATGTCGAAGGTTACTCTTGAATACGCAAACAATTAACGGTTTGCAATATTGAATGGTTCACCATGCTTCTGCTGATATAATTTATACGGCAGCTTTACCGAAATCGCTTTCGCCTTCCCTGCAGCATGGCCGTAACACGACCGTATAGCCTCAGGGCATTGTTAAGCTGTCGAGAGGCGATCGATGGTAATTTATCGTCCAGATAACCTACAGTATAGCCGTGCCGGTGGCCGCCTGTGCCTCTTTTCCCGGTTATCGTCGGTTTCCATGGAAAACCGCGGGTCATTGCTCGCCAGACATGGTGCCATTGAACTGGGCGGAGCCATGCACAGTCACAGACATTTAGTGATTCATGCCAGACATATGCTGTCGCCAGCCAGACGTCTAGACGACCCCAGTTCCAGGGCCGCAAACAACAGTGGGCGATGGTGCGGCTATCAAAATTCAGTCGAAACAGCGGTTACGACTTCTAACGATTTCTAAGGAACTGACCACCGAGCGGTGAGCTTTCACGGAAGAGAAATCGCTTCCAAGAGGCAGTCACAAACAATCAGATCATCACTACATAGGGCTTCAACAACTTTAGCTCCTGCCGAAACCTTCTAAGACTTCACACACACGTGGGTCACCCCAACATGGTTGGATCATATTCTCGACGAAACCTTACCCATTCAACGACTGAGTGAAAATCTGCCTCACGCTTGAGCCTTCCTGACGAGCCTCATGAATCCCGGCATAAAACGCGACTACGCGGAGGCGAGTTTAGCATTTCAGCAAGACAAACTGACAAAGCCATATTTTCTCAAAGTTTTCCGGCTGGGAAATCACCCAGTCCCGCTCGTCTGGGACGGCACTTGTTGCCGAGTGCAGTGGGGCTCGCCAGTGCCCGTCGTCCTTGGCCGTATTTCAAAGCGGCGTCAAAGGCGAATCGATACAGGTCCGCCGCTGACGGAAAGGCGGGCTGGGTGACTGAGGGCTGAGTCGTGTTTCGACCGGTTCGGTGGCTCGGGGTGAGGTCGAAAAGGTGCGACTTTGTTCAACTCCTCAAAGCTAATGACTGCTTAGCCGCGCGGGTCACGACTCACCTCCATACCTTCACTGTAGGTGGTATGAGATGTCGTTTATTGATGAATTATATCCACGCATGCCATTCACACAATGTAGTCTGTTATATTATTGAGCAGTGGGCACTGCAACTCGAATCTCACTTAAGTTGATGGAAAATGTATTACTTGGATGATTCTGTTATCCGATGCTAATGTCATGCAGGACCAACGTCCCACAATAGTGTCATAATCAAACCAGAATGACATTTTCACCAGCGTGGCAACACTATTTCATCTCCATGACATTAGAATAGCCACTGCGATCCGAAGAGTATGAACCCAGCAAACATGCCCACATGGTTCCCATATGGGGCCCACATGGGCCCCCCACCTCTTCCATATGGGTCCCACATGGGAATGGCAGTGGGTGACACGTGGGACCCATATGGGCCAGCCCACGTAGGCCCCATATGGGACCCACGCGGCGCCCACATGGGACCCATATGGGTAGCCCATCTGTAGCCCATGCCCCACGTCGGCCCATCTGGCCCATGTTCACCCCATATGGGACCCACATGGGATGCCCATCTCCAGCCCACATGCGTTTGGCCCATCTGGCCCATTTTTATCCCATATGGGGCCCATATGGGTAGCCCATCTGTAGCCATGTCCCACGTGGGCCCATCTGGCCCATGTTCACCCCATATGGGACCCATGTGGGCATGTTTGCTGGGAAGGCTCTTGGGATTTACACAACATGTTGTGAATATGATTTACAAAGTCTGTTCAACTTATTGTACAAGATACCTTTGCGCCTAAATCCTTTACAAGCGTGTCAATCTTTTTTTGCAGTGATTTTTTTTTAAAGTCCACTCACTCTTTGTTTGGCAAAGTGTGCTCTTAGGACGTATTAGTGATCCTCTATCGAATCCGTCAACGGTCTCTCAAACAGCTCATTCAACAACAGCTCCGAAGTCAACGTCCCCAGATCAGATCTGAATTCCGCCCGCCGAACGGGGATCTCTCCGCCTTTGTGAATCGCCGATCGGCCCACCGTATTCAGCCAGCAGCCGAGCCGACTGGGAGGGTTAAGAGCTTGATCCGGGATCTTCCACCACTATCCGGGATTTCTGGGCGCTCTGATCGGGTCTCGGCGCGAGTATCGAACTGACAACGACCCGCACTCTCCCCTCCCTCTCGTCCCCGGGCTGCAGAGTGACCCCACACCCGCCTGAGCACTTGAGCCGCACACTTAGCCTGAGAGCACGGCGGCGATTCAGAGGGCGGTGACCAGCCCGGTGATGAACAGACTAGGTGGGGTCCGAACCGTGGACCGTGGACGTGGCTCCGTGGACAAATACGCTAGGGCGATGGACCGGGATTGAGGTTACGGACAGCTTCTGAGTAGTAATGGACGGTTCTGCGATAGGTACTTAATGGACAATGCCTAAGTGCTATGATGCGCGGCATGACACGCGTTTGCGTATGCTGTGACGTTAGTCGATCTGTGATGGGACAATAGCCTGTCCTGCGGTGGGGCTTTACCCAGTTCTGCGGTAGAACAATGCCCCGTTCCGCGACATCTCGACCGGGCTGATCGAGTGCCCTGGGACGTGGTCTCCGCAGGATTGAGTTAGCGGACAGAGTGGAGTCGGGTGGAAACTGATGGCACGCCAGCGCCGAGCCTGGTGGGAGTAATATTGGTTTCCGGATACCTCGGTTAGATGGAGATTTGTGGCTTCTTGAGTCTGGTGTATCATGTAGAAGTATAGTCTGACAAACCCGAACTGGGAGGAGCTGCGAACTTAACTAACTAAAAGTATTATCGCGACGAAACTGTTGATGAAGGTTCATGTGAACAAAGGAATGAACCACTGGATGACTTACTGCAGTTTAATGGTGGCGATTGTAGCTGAACAAGAGTTCTGGAGTTCAAGTCAAGACGCCAGACTGGCATGATGTAGACGTACAAATCGGATAATGATACGATGATCCTATATGTGACGTCGGTCCAATGCAATAGTGACAATGTTGCAAAACTGTAGGTTGACTTTTTAGGATATTAGTGAAACAAATCCATTCCATCTGCAGCGCTTCTTAGTTATCGTCCAGGAACTGACACATTATTCTGGGCATTATCAGGTGTGTGACCTTCTGACCTCTGACGAGCCACGGTACGAGCACCTCTTTCCGGTACGGATATAAGCTAATTATTGTCGTGTATCCGGGATGATTACCGTATATCCCTACCACATCCCGACCCGCGGTCAGAAACGCCCCGTAATACCACCAGGGTCATCAGAGGGTCAGACAGCAGAGGTAGGTCAACGACCTCCCCATCACTGCCTGCTGGCAGGGCGGTCAGCGTTGGGAGTTCGATCGGTGGGAGATTTGTGGATCTTCCGAGACGCGAGAACTTGGACAGGCTTCTGCTGACGTCACGCCAGTATAGCCAACACGTGGGTAAACCAATAGCTGTCCTTAGTATAAAAAAACTACTAGTCGCTGCGAGAAAAAGATGGCGGTTTGGTGGGAATGAATATGTCTTTCAGGGGCTCGGTCAAGAGAATCAGTGGTCTGATACTGCCGTCCCATTTCCTCACCTGAACATTGTCCTCGCATATTTGCAGTTCTCCAGTGTAGGCAAAGTCTACCAGCAGCTGAATGGCATGGGCGTCGATGTCGTGAAGGGTGATCTGACACTGGCGCTTCTCCGCCAGGTCATCTGAAAAGGTCAGGTTAGGTCACGTTAGCTAGAGGAGGATGCCTTAGTCAACACAGAGCATGACGCAGTCTAGGTAAATTTGTGACATGATTTCGCGTAGCAAAAATCAATACCTATAAATGCCTAGGTATAGGTATTCATTTCACTACTCAAGCACGTAGCATTTGCACTTTTGTGTTATAGTAATTGTAAATATGTGTAATGACCATTGCTTCCTACGGATTGTTACAATTAGCAAGAGATGCAGATAACTTCATATCGACGTCCTTCTCATCCTCCTCTTGTGCCTTCCGTGTTCGTTGATATCCCGGTTTAGCTCGTACATCATTGTCATTTCCGTCTTCATGACATCTTCGATTATCTAGCGATTCATTACTTCCCGCTATCGATGGATGACGGGGCTCTCCCCTGGACCACGATATAGCGCGTCCCTACTATCAGGAGTAATTAATTCCTCAGTGTCTGGGATACAATTAAACGATATAGCCAAGGTAATCAATTTTTTGTTTTAGAACTGAGATGTGACCAAAGTTAAATCAGATTTTTTTTTTCACGGAATTCTGGTAAATACCGTCAAAACAATTCAAAGTTAGTTATCTAGATGCTACCGCAAAGCTGTTTTCAGATTAATATTGCAATGCACTAACTTCTATCTCGAGTTTCCACCATAACAGTCCCAAACGGGAATGCTTCTAGGACGTAGGGCGGAGGGCGGGGACAGGGGCGGGGCCTCCCGACGTCGGTGGCACAGCTTGTAGCCAGGGAGGAACGAGGCGGGGGTGGGCACGCGGGACTCCGAACAAAGGCCAGTTCCGAGCGGCTCGGCCTCGCTGGCGCTACTGCGTTGACCGACGAGTTACGCACGCATCTGCTCGGCCATCCTACCCCAACCGGTCGCGATGGACCGAATCGAAATGTTCGTCGAGACCGACGCGACATAGCCGACGGAAGTCGACGGGACGGACGGACGGGAGCTGTTATGGGTGGTCACAGAGACTGAGCAGGAAGTCACAGACGTCAGCGGTGATGGCTAGAGTGACGGTATGAGACTGTACTGAAAGGAGACGCGGAAATGGAGAGGGTGGAGAGAGAGAGAGAGAGAGAGAGAGAGAGAGAGAGAGAGAGAGGAGAGGAGAGAGAGAGAGAGAGAGAGATGAGAGAGAGAGAGAGAGGAGAGAGAGAGAGAGAGAGAGAGGAGAGAGAGAGAGAGAGAGAGAGAGAGAGAGAGAGAGAGAGAGAGAGAGAGAGAGAGGAGAGAGAGAGAGAGAGGAGAGAGAGAGAGAGAGAGAGAGAGAGAGAGAGAGAGAAAGGGAGAGAGAGGGGAGGGCTTAGCGATGCGACAGAGGGACGAAGAAGGGTCAAATCACATACGGAAGAGGAGTGGTAGGGAGCGGACCGACGGGGGAGTTGCGATTGCCTTCCACCGGTTGTGCGCGAGCCACAGCTGCGGCCAACGGCCCAGCAGGGTGCCGGCTGGTCGTTTGTCGTGTCGGAAGGCTGAATAGCGCTTTGTGATAGCCCATAATACACAAGGCCGTTCGGACAGCGAGTGGAGTACGGCGTACGAGTGATGGCGACACGGAGACAAGTGATCTCGGCGGCGGCGTGCAAACCGTGTTCTGGCTGCTGGTAGCGTACGAACGGGACCGTGTCTCCCGGTGGTAGCGTACGAACCTTATAGGTATCTTGGATACAAACCATGCGTTGCGTTATGCATGCTCCGCAATTTTGGTGGCTGAAATGACGGTCCACCGCGCCAGAAATCTCGGAGATTGAAGGCGACATGCCGAGTGACGGTGGTGTCAAAATTTTATGACATTTCGCACGCGCGGTTGTCATCACTAATCTAGTTAATAGCGTGAGTGCTGCGCTCTCGGTTCAGGCTGTCGTTATTGCTTTTTATCTGTCTGTAATCAAGCACCCCAAAACTGTTCGGTAGCTGTCAGCAGTAATTCGATTGTTAGGTTGATCTGACAAATTACTCTGAGCCCATAACGACAAAAACTGGGAGGAACTATCTAATTATACTGTGAGACAGGAACAGGATGCTATGCTGTCCCGGAGCTAATACATCTGTGTGATAAGTTCTCATGACAAACATTTGTGCACACTGTAGATTACGACGGCGCTAATGTCAACAGATGAGTTCCCAAGGAAGCGAGCATGCATACATAATATTCATGCATGCATACATGTCATCTACAAGTTAGCATACTTCCTATTGCACATGTCATCCGAAGCACAATTATGAAGAAAAAAAAGTCAATAGGGACCTGAGTCCTGACTAAGATTTTGGAATTTGATGCATTAATTAATGTTTCTTATTCGGAAAGGCAACGTGATTGTGACACATCACTCAGCCACGTTAGCAGTGATGGTTACTAAATAGGTGATGGTTACTGAATTAATTTCATATCTTTTCTTCCATTGTCACGCATAAGCAACACATCATCTCGTCGGCGACAGCCTATTTATGATACGTGTGCCACCAAACAGCTGCGAAGTGGGCCGTGGCGCGTATCAACACATCGTCGCATGTTATCGTCTATTTGTAGGCACGCACACTCATCCTCCGTCTCTGCCTGACACATCTCCGACATTATCTGTCGGCACTCCGCCGTCCGCGGCAGAGGACGGGAAGACGCCGCTCCGGCCGGACCGTCCTCCGCGGCGGGCGCAGCTCCTTTGTCCGACAGCTCCGACTCCAGCGCCGGGTGGGGAGTCGCGCCAGCAGCTCCGGCGGACCGGACGTACCCCACGTGGGTGCCGAGAGCTGGCCGCCGCCCAACTACGTCAGAAGACGAGCGCGAGAACGGCGCGGGAACGGCGCCCGGCCGTGCTCGGTCACAGGAGAGTAGGACGGGCGCCACAGGACACCGGCGGCCGGCCCGTGCTAATGGCACCGCGGCGCCGCGCTGGACGGCCTCTCGACCGGTCCAGATAGATCGGGGATCGATCCAAGGTTCGCCGCACCGACCCGGACCACCGGCCGACCGCCACGGCCGGGTCGTGATTAAGAGCGTATATTGACGGCCGGCTGATACTCAGATGGGTCTTTGTTCCGGGAACCCGATGGGCTGCCATCTTCGGAGACTTCTGATAAAATAATCATCCACTTGTCATTCTGTCTCAAAGTCTATTTATCTCAGGGCTATAGTACGGCCATAGCCACCGGTGCCGGTCCCACAACCGCCACCGATACCACCACAGCCGTCGATGGCGCCACCATTGAGCGTGGCTCCCGACTAACGGCAGGATGATGACGCCGAGCGAGGGACGGCCCGGCGACAGCGGACTGCTTCCGGTCCACTTCCGGCCCGCGGCGGTCGCGGCATTCATGAGCTGTCGGCGCGTGCGGCGGTGGGAAAGGGACCGTCATCGATGCGTCAGTCACCGCCGAGCGGGCGTACTATGATGCCACAGCTGCCCGACAACAGCGTGCTGAGCAGATGCGGGTGATAGTGGCGTGGCGGCTCTGGGACATGCAGAAGAAAAAGTATACGCGTTTCTGCAGAAACATTTTTGTATAGTTCTACGTACGAGTTTTATTGGAAGTATGAATGAACCAGCACAATTTTGATGCCAACGATAAACTTCAACATCACCAGCGAGTGAAGTTGACCACTAGATAAAGCTAAATAAATCTCCCGAAAGTCAAATCACGCACAACTTTATGTCCCGTCTGCGAGTTCCAGCCGGCAGCTGACGACCCGGCGCCCCGAGTATTGGTCGTCGTCAGGCACTTCCAAGACCCGGCAGAGACGGCCGACCTGAGCCTAACTACCAGAGGCTGTGACTCTCGAGGTGGCCCGAAGTGCACTCAAAGCCGCCTGGGAGCTCGAGCCCGGACTGAGGTGCTTCCAGGACCGGCAGCCAGATAGCACGTTCCATTTAAAACGCAGTATATAACCACCTGCGTAGTTTGTGGCTCGAGTCAGGGATGGAAAATGCACTGAGTATATATCCTGAGTTAGCTGAAAAATATGTAATGAAATTACTATCATCTTGTTACTTGCTGGACTACACGCAGTCCATTCCAAAGTCCATTCCATCCGCGCGTAACACAGCGCTGCTCTGGAGACGCTGGTAGGTATACTGTGCCGCAATACAAGAGCGCTCGGCGGCCCAGCCTACCACTGCAGTCTGCAGGCACGTCTTGCGGGCCGGGCTGGAAGAAGCTCTGGCGCGAGGGATAGTAAAGAAAAACGGATGTGTGTGGAGGAATGGAGAAGACTTGTTAATGTCTTTAAGAAATTCTTTGATTCAAGGTTTTGGATTTTTGTGATGTGATCGCCAATGTAAAAGCATGCGCCTTCCAGTGCTAACTAATAAGGTGACTTAGCGTAGCGAAAGTCGTCGATTTATATTTTTATAGGCATATTTTCCGACAGTAAACGATCTCGCAGGAACAAGATATGAACTTCTTGAAACAGACGTAACAGTGTATCAAGCAATAATGTATAAAACTCAACACAATTGCTCTTATCCAGAGTCAACGATCACCAGATAATTTTTCGACCTCTCATATGGCCTCTCTGCAAGACGTTTGGCACCCACTTGACGACCGACACACCCATACGGTCAGCGGTTCATCAGTCCCATCCCAGGGGTCTCTGACAATGGTCGCTACAACAGGGTGTCCGCAGCAGTGACCATTAACCGCAGAGTAACGCCCTAGGGCAGCGGGCCGTGAGTCATTTCCTCGTTGACGGCCTTTCTGACCAGAGTGCTCTTGTCCCGCTTGACCACAGCAATAAGCGGAAGAGATTCTGGGAGTTCTGCCGGCTGTCAGCGACTCCGTTTGATTGCCAAAGCCGCGGAAGATATGGTTGTGATCTGTGGCTTTGGGTGCGGCTGGGGTGTCGCCGGTCGTCCGCCCCGTCACCCCTGCCCCTCCCCCTCTCCTCCACCATAAGTGTGGACATTAGTCGGCGCGGCGCCGACGGCGACACCGCGCCGGCCCCGTCGATATTGACATTGTTTTTGTCACCAAGCCGAGCGGCTGGCGAGCCGGAGGACGGCGGTGGGGTTACTGACCTGAAGCCCATCGCCGCGCCGACCGTCGCCGACTCTCGCCCCCCTCCCTCTCCCCCTCCTCCGCCAACAGCTCAGCCGTCCATCTTGCGTGAACGACTCTGATTCAACAGCTGGGGGCGATCGTCGGTTTCTTTGTCTTGAGCGTCGCGCCGTGGATTAGACCGGCCCGCCGCGGTCCGTCGTTCCAGTCATTAATTTCCGTGGGCAAGCGGTCGACGTTAAGAAGTTGGTTTACGGCTGCGTACGGATATAAGGATGGCGTACTGAGTACATGCCGAGGAATTTACACGAGTCGAAGTTGTACCTGTGGTGTTTGGTTGCACTGGCGCATGTCTGTGATCGTTGCGATACATTTTGCTGATGTGATAGCGCATGTCTGTGCTGCTATTTATCTACTTAAGGCTAAATAAGAGTTATCAGCATTATTTGCATAGTTATGGTGGCGTGACTAATTACGTAAGCTACAGTATGCTTGGATAAAAAACGACACTGATTTTCCATAAGACACTCTCTGACGCAGACCAGCCGAGCGGGACAAATTCATCCGGGAACGAATAGAAAGCGAGGGGAATGGAGGAACGATGTGACCTGGATGCTCAGCCGAGCGACGGAAAGGCGAAAACAAAAACAACGGTTTGGGCATGGATGATATAACACTGGATTGGTGTCTCGTGGAAATTAACATTGGGATCCGCGACATTGGGATCAGGCCTGCCATCTAGCGAGAGAATTATCGTAAGTTAGGAGCAAGCCGAGTGAACGCCATCTCTCAGCATTATGACACACGTGGGTGTGGCGTGTTAGTTGGCTCGAAATGCATTTTCCCACGAGCTGGAGGTAATCTAACTGGACCTGAGACGACAAAAATGTCTTAAATGCTTGAAAGCCAAAAACGTCAAGCAGCCTTTAGGTAATAACGAAAATAAAATGCGTAAGACGGTGTGTATTGAAACGCCCAGTTCCATTGGCTTGTACGAGCTTTTATATGGCCATTTACTCACAATGGTACAGCAGTTTGACAATATGTCATACATATTTGGTAGGCTTATTCCTTCTTCTCCGAATTTCGCCCGATTTTCTTCATCTTAGTTAATGTTACGGCACGTGTCACGTGCCAACTTAGGGGTGTCGAAATTGTTCCACATGAAGTAACTCCGCAATGGCTGGGCCCATTACGGTAAAATTTCGTCAATAGTTAGGCACCGTGGCCAATGCATTTCCATGTGTCACCATGGGGGTGCTACTGCACGTGCGCACGTGCGGGGTGTCGCTTCCATATCTCAAGAAGGGCTGGGCGGATAACACTCAAACTTGGTACACAAATGTCACATCGATGCTCGCACTGCATTGATCAGTGCTTACATTGGAGTCGTTAGGAAAACGATGAAATGAGATGCGTGGTGTTTATGCCTTTCTGTTCCAGCAGCTAATTGATCCGCAACAGGAGATCCTTGTTTGTGAAGGCTTCGTCTCCCTTTTCCACTCCTTGTTTAAAATAACATTAACAATGTACGAAGAAGATCGCACATCAAAGTTGTTTTAGGCGGCTATCTTGGGCCAGGACTGCGGAGTTGTAGTCAGAGCCAGCGGTTCTGTTCCGACTCGGAATCGGTTGATTTTTAACCCTCGCCCGCACATGCCATTTTCCCATCCTAGAACGCACATGGGGGGGGGGGGGTGGTTGCCACCCCCCCCGCGCCATTTCGTTCCTGTTGGAGATAGAGCTTAGCAGTAAAGACCAAAAAGATTCTTTGGGAAGAGACGAATCCAATGATACCCAGTTTTGCCTTCTCAGGTCAGTCATTGACCTTCCAGGTCAGGTCAAACTAAAAAATGTTGCTGTTTTGGGTCACCGTTGGATATCAAGTGCGCTGCTTATCAAATACCGATGACGATGCTGTTTTCTGGTGCCAAGCCAGCTAGAACCTCTTTGTCACACTATCCGACCAGAATTTTGCTGCTGAGGTCATTTCAGGTCAAGTTAGGTCAAGGTCAATTATATGTGTTTGTATGTCTGTGTGTGTCTGTGTGTATACTGATGTGTGCACCGATTGTTTTTGGGTCCATATCACATGAAATCATGATCTGAGAAGCTTTTACCAAAAATGCAGTCAAAAAACTTCACAAAAAGTAAATTCAGCTTGCCTAAAACGCAATTATCTTAGATGACCTAGGTTGACCTTGACCCTGACCTTGACCCCTGGACATCGTCGAACAACATGTTCCATGATAGGTGGGAGGTAAGACTGGCAAAAAAGGCCGAAATCAGGGTGTCAAAAGCTCACAAGGCCCATGGCAAACGCAAGATGTTGAGAATTGGCCATTTGGGTCATGACATGACCTTAAAAACAAGGTCATATCTCCGAAACCAAAAATCACAGAAACTTGAAATTTTCAGTGGACATCAAGAAAGGATAGACAAGCAGCTATACGAAAAATCAGCCTTCTAGCTCTAAAAATGTTGAGTGCAGAGCAGAAAGACTGCCTGGGGGGGGGGGTGGCAACCACCCCCCCATGTGCGGGCGAGGGTTAACAGCTGTAGGAGTATGAGTCGAACGTCACCGAAAAGTCATCGACTTCACAGACTTACCAGGGCTGCAGAGTCGGAGTCTGTGTGAATCGACAGTTCTGCCCGAAGGAGTCGGAGTCGATATTTGGATACCGGAATCGGAGTTGGAAACAAAGTCACTGAAATTTCATCGACTACGCAGCACTGGTTGGGTCCTTTTCATAGAGCGTCTTGAATGGCATATTGAGCGGCAATGACGTTAGCAATTCCGTTTAACTTTTTTCATTAGACTTATGGATAGTACTTACGTTCGTTTTGTTCTTTGATCGGACAATTTGTTTGATTTAGGCCAAGTAAAGACTCATGTGAAAAATAGCGAAAACGACACGTGCTGGCGAAGTCTCCAATAACTCCCTGTTTCACGATTTAATGAGGAAATAACATGGAACTGCTTATCTTATTACTGACCCTGCACATAAATCTATTAATTTCTTCGCTTTTACTGACATATAAAGACATAATCTTTTGAAAAATTGCACAACAAGCCTGCTACTACACCACACTCCCGTGTATCACAATGCTAATCAGCGGCGTTCACTCGGCTTGCTCCTAACTTACGATAATTCTCCCGCTAGATGGCAGGCCTGAGCTCAATGTCGCCAAAAACTGCGAAGACACCAATCCATTATTATCTCATCCATGGTTTGGGCGAGGAACGGACGACGTCAGGTCACGTGACACTTAAAAGCGGTACACGTCAACATCAGCTATAATAACTATGTGGCGAGGTAACAATAAAGCGTGCATGCGACGCTGGTGTTCTTACTTGTAAACATGGCGCTGAAATAGGGACTGCAGGCCGCCAGAACGATTCGGTGCGCGTTGATCTTCAGGTCGCCGACAACAAACTCCACGTCGCACAGCTGAAAGTGAGAAGTGTCTGTGAAATTTCTAACATTACTCGTGCATGGTGTACTTCGGTGTTTTCATAGTAAATGAAATGAGTGAATTCCATGTCATGCAATTACATGTTTTAATCATCCGATGACAACCATGGTGAAATTACTCCGGATAAAAAAGTGTCGCCATTATATAAGGGACATTAGCATTTATGCTCCGTCCTCTGTTTCATCATGTGGTGCACACAGAAAAATATTGACACCGTTAGCGGTGTAATTGCACAGTACATATTTGGCGTGTTCTCGGGCTCCACACACACAGGGCTCCTTTCACAGTCTATTCCAGACCCCAACTGACCGCCCCGGACCAGCGAGTACCCGCCAGGTCGGGGTTCGGCCAATCACAACGCACCAGATCCACACGGCCAATCACACACTGCCACACACTGTCCACGTCATGTCACCCCACTCAGGCCGCTGCGCCACTATGGAGGTGCAAACACACCACACCATTCCATTCCTCCAACTCACAACTCACAACACTACCCCCTTCCATTTAAGGTTGTCGTCCCGACAACCAACGAACAGCAAATATCGTGAAACCACAATAGCCTAAATGAGCAATCGACACACGACAATGAGCGCACGATACGCTGGTACTAACACCATCCTAAACCTGGTACTAACAGAAAAGAAAAAAAAAACTGAGCAAACACCGCGGTTCTAATATGTAACGACGTTTCCAAAACGCTCGGGCGGTCGGCGCACTCGTCCCGAACGCCGTAATGACTGTTTTTCCTGCAGACCGCCGCCATTTAACAGCGATGCACCCCGTCTCATTGGAGTTTTAACGAAGCAAGTTTGGCTGTGGTCCCCGGTGTCAGCCCTGTCATCCGGTGGTATATGGGTGAAGTTTTCCGTGCGCGCCGCGGAATCTCCCGACCCCGCCCGCCACTCGGGGCGCGGTGGGTTGAACGGTCCCGTGGGAGGAACTGGCGGACGTGGGGATGGCGCACGCCGTGAACGTCCACGGCGCGCCGTGGAATCTCCCAACACCGCCCACCACTCGGGGCGCAGTGGGTTGAGCGGTCCCGCGGGCGGAACTGGTGGACGTGGGGACGGCCGCCCGCGGGCGGGGTGAGAACCACTCTCGAGACTGACGTTCCCCCGCTCCCCAACCCCCAGGGAGTGTCGTCTAGCAGCGCCACGGAGCCGACCAGGGCGCACCTCAGGCACGGAAGTGCACGGCTTGAGGCGATTGTGATGGATCACACTCTGCTTGGATCCACCTTCTCGTTGTACCCGATACGTCCAACTGCGAAGCTTTTCGACAATTTTATATGGACCTTCCCATGCGTGTGCCAACTTTCGACTCTCGCCCTTCTTTAACCCGTCGCGGCGCACCCAAACACGGTCGCCCACTGTGTACACGTGCTCCAGGATATGTGTGTCGTGAGTCGATTTGCTCGCCTGATGGGCAGCGACGCTCGCGTTAAAAATCATGGCATCAGTGGCCTCTAGTGTTTGTTGCAGGCCACACACGTATGCAAGAAGGTCCGCCGGGACGGCAGGACCCGTGTCAGTTTGAGCTCGTGCTCCCCCATACACTGCGTCAATAGGTAGCGTGGGCGGCCTCCCGAACACACACTCATACGGAGAGAGACCAGTGGATCTGTTGATGTTGCTATTGCAGGCCAACACTGCCGCCGAAAGATACTCAGACCAGTGCTTGGGATTATCAGCGCTCAGCTTAGCGACAGCGTCGATAAGAAATTTGTGACCACGCTCGGCGTAAGCATTACCCTGTGGGTGGTAAGGCGTTGTTGTCGACTGACGTATACCCAACGAGCTACAAAACAATTTCATGACATTCCCAGTCAAATTTCTGCCCAGATCACTATGGATGCATTTCGGAATGCCAAAAACACTAATGACGTGGTCCATTAGTGCTCTGACAACCGTCTCCGCTTCCTGATCACGAATTGGAATAGCCCACAGGAATCTGGTGAATGCATCAGTGCAGGTCAATACATATCGGAAACCCTCACGATGTGTCGCCGGCAGCCCACATACGAGATCAATATCAAGTCTGTCAAGAAATGCTGACACTTGAAGCGAACCCAAAGGGGCCCGCGGTGTCGGCTGAGGATTCCGTCGTCGTTCACAGACTGCACATTCTTTGCAGTAGTCCTTCACGTCCTGTTGGAGCCCCGGCCAGTGGAAACGCTCCCTGACCATGCTCTCCAGCCTGGCAACACCCTGATGGCCTCCTCCGAAGCCAGCATGCAGTGTGTGCAGGACCTCCTTCCTCAAGTGATGAGGCAAAACAATCTGCAAGCAGACAGGAGCAGCTCGGTGTGGCTGTATCCGCTTATACAGCACCTTATGCTCGCCTTTCCCGAGCACCAATGACCTCCAATCGCGTAACAAACGGCGAGCGCAATCAGTTTTCAAATTTTTCACCAGAGGACGGATTTTACTCTCTTTCCAAGCTTTGATCTCCCGTATGCCCTCGTCGCGGTCCTGCTCGCGGCTGATGTCCGGCAGTGACATTTTAGAAACGGAGCAGATCGAGGGGTCAGATGGCTGCACGGCTCCCACGGCACGGACCGTCGCCGGCTCGGTAGATTCCCCCGTCTCCGAGGGTACCAGACCGGTGCTGCCAGCTGCCTCAACATTTGTCTCAGTCACCGGCCGCCCCTCTTCCCCCTCCGAGGAGACGGGGATACAAACCCATTTAAATGCCACCTCGCCACCCGGCTCAGGTGGGTGGGGGTAGCGCGACAGTGCATCTGCATTGCCATGGGAGGTTCCCTTTCTGTGAATGACGCGGAAATCGAGCTCAGATAGCTGTAGCAGCCATCGGGCCATCTGGCCCTCGGGATTTCGAAATCCGAACAGCCACCGAAGGGCGGAATGATCGGTGCGCAGAACAAACTGCCGACCGACCAAGAAGTGTCGAAAGTGCTGTGTGGCCCATACTACCGCCAGAAGTTCCCGCTTTGTTGCCGAATACTGCCGCTCTGATTTTGTCAGTGCCCGGCTGGCGTAGGCGATCACTTTATCCTCCTGCAGGAGGCATGCTCCCAGGCCTGTTCCACTCGCGTCTGTATCACAGACGAACGGAGCGGCTCCAGCCTCCAGCCGGGGATGGGCCAGGACTGGTGGCGACACCATTTTGGCCTTCATCGTTTGGAACGCTGCCTCTGTCTCCGGTGTCCACCGGAAAGGGACCCTTTTCTCGGTCAGTCTCGTGAGCGGCTTGGTGAGGGAAGCAAAATCCTGAATATACTTCCGCAGGTACGAGCATAGCCCAAGGAATGCCCTGACCTCTGTCACAGACGACGGTGTCGGCCAGTCTTTGATCAACTGCGTTTTGGCCGGGTCACAAGAAATACCATCGGGTGTGATAATGTACCCCAGAAACTTAACCTGTTTTTGACACAGCCGAAGCTTGTTCAGCGTCACAGTAAAACCAGCTGCATGAAGGTGAGTCAACACCTGACGCAAATTTGCGTGCATCTCCGACAAATCTTTTGCCAGAACCAGTATGTCGTCAAAATATTGAATGTACACTCGCGGAGAGATGCCAGACAGTGCCATCGCTAGCGCTCTGTTGAAGGTGTGGGGAATCCCCACTAAACCGAACGGTGCCGATGTGTAACGATGCAAGCCGAGTTCAGTGGTAATTGTTGTTTTGTCCCTGTCAGATTCCTTGATAGGAATTTGATGGTAGGCCTGATTCAGATCAACGGTTGTGAACCAATTCACCCCCGAGAGACGATTCAAGCAATCGTCGATACGGGGAATGACCTGCACGGAGGGGACAGTCACTGAGTTTAGTTTTCGAAAATCTCCGCATATACGGATGTCCCCGTTCGACTTTTTGACCAGTACCAAGGGGCTGGCCCACTGGGACTCACTGACGGGCTCCAAAATTCCTTGGCTCACCAAGCTGTCGATCTGAGTCTGAACACTCGTTTTTAGATGAACTGGTGTTCGCCTGTAGGGCTGAGACACCGGCCGGGCTGAGCCCGTCGGAAAGCTGTGTTCCACAAGGTCAGTTCTACCCAGCCCTGTGAACACTCCCGAAAATTCCATGAGCAAATGTTTGAACTTATCTTTCTCAGGCTGTGGCAGGTGCGCGACCACTGTGTCAAAATCAAGTTCTCCCTCTTCAGTGGCGTCCCCGAGAGGGAGAACGGTCTGCTCATCAACTGTGTGTGCGTTGGCAATGTGAGTGCCTTTGTAAAGATGCACGTCTCTTTCACTGGTGTTGGATAATCGCATCGGCACTGAGCAGTCAGGGCCGATGCGAACCGCCAGTCGCGCAACTAGGAGGGGACTGCGCTCCAGAAATCTGTCCTCCCCCTCCAGGAGCGCCGAGGCGGACTCAAGGGTTGCATCGGTCGGGGGACACATTTCTCCCATACAAATCACCTCCGTTCCCGCGCGCACCACCACCGGGTCTTTAACCACCACCCTCGCCGCCTGTACCCGGGGTCCGTGTGGGACACGTGACAATGGTAGTGCATATTCACCCACCCTCAGCAACCCCTGTCCCAAGTCCAAGCAGGCCTCGATTTCAGTCAAGTATTTAGCACCCAGCAAACATTGATCAAACAGCTTTCCCGACACATAGCAATCCACCTTACGAACACAGTCCCCAAGTGTGATTGTCACAGACGTCTTACCGATAATGTGAACGCAAGCCTCCCCATCAGCCAGGCTGATTTTCTTATCCAGCGGTCGGAGACGCGCTCCCGGTGCCAAGCAGTCCTGTCGAATGATGACCTCGTCGGCACCGCTGTCCACCAGGGCGCAGACGGGGCGGCCATCGATGAGGACCTGCGCGAACCGGCCACCCGGCTGAGGACCGCCGGTCACCACGCCGCGTGCCAGCAGCGACTGCTCTTCATCCGACAGAAGTAGCGGCGGCTGCGGCGGTGACGAGCCAGGCTGTGGCGGCGACGGCGAGCCAGGCCGCGGTGGCAGTGAGGCAGGCGGCGGCGGCGACGAGCCAGGCCGTGGCGGCGGCGGCGGCGGCGAGTCAGGCCGCGGCAGCAGCGAGCCAGGCGGCGGCGGCGGCGGCGGCAACGAGCCAGGCCGCGGCGGCGGCGACGGCGGCGAGCCAGGCCGCGGCGACAGCGAGGCAGGCGGCGGCGGCGGCGAGGCAGGCGGCGGCGGCGGCGACGGCGAGTCAGGCGGCGGCGGCGGCGACGGCGGCGAGCCAGGCAGCGGCGGCGGAGAGCCAGGCCGCGGCGGCAGCCAGGCAGGCGGCGGCGGCGGCGAGCCAGGCGGCGGCGACGGCGAGCCAGGCCGCGGCGACGGCGAGCCAGGCCGCGGCGGCGGCGACGGCGGCGAGTCAGGCCGCGGCAGCAGCGAGCCAGGCGGCGGCGGCGGCGGCGGCAACGAGCCAGGCCGCGGCGGCGGCGACGGCGGCGAGCCAGGCCGCGGCGACAGCGAGGCAGGCGGCGGCGGCGGCGAGGCAGGCGGCGGCGGCGGCGAGCCAGGCGGCGGCGACGGCGAGCCAGGCCGCGGCGGCAACGAGCCAGGCCGCGGCGGCGGCGACGGCGGCGAGCCAGGCCGCGGCGACAGCGAGGCAGGCGGCGGCGGCGGCGAGCCAGGCGGCGGCGACGGCGAGCCAGGCCGCGGCGACAGCGAGGCAGACGGCGGCGGCAACGAGCCGGGCCGCGGCGGCAGCCACGAGCCAGGCCGCGACGGCAGCGGCAAGACAGGCTGCGTTGATGGGCCAGGCAGATTCGGCGAGCCCAGCTGCAGCGGCGGTGGCGACGACGGCGGCGAGCCGGGCAGAGACGGCCAGCCAGACTGCGACGGCAGCGGCAAGACAGGCTGCGTTGATGGGCCAGGCAGATTCGGCGAGCCCAGCCGCAGCGGCGGTGGCGGCGGCGAGGCAGGCGGCGGCGGCGGCGGCGGCAACGAGCCAGACCGCGGCGGCGGCGACGGCGGCGAGCCAGGCGGCGGCGGCAGCAAGCCAGGCCGCGGCGGCGGCGGCGGCAACGGGCCAGGCTGCGGCAGTGGCGGCCACAGCGGCGGCGGGCCGGGCCGAGGTGGTCGCGAGCCAGGCGGTACCCCCAGCACCGCTCGCCTGACTTCTCCTGATCCTTGACTCAGGCAAGGGGCTGACTCGATGCGCCGGTCGACCGGGCGGCCCCACCGCTCGTCGACCGGCCTCCGTTTCCCGAACTGCGGCACACAACTCCCAGGTGTCCGCGTCGGCCGCAGCGCCCGCAGACGTCACCCCGGAACAAACACTCCCGTCTCCAGTGACCGGTCTGGCCACAGACGAAGCAAGCCGAACGGTCCCGTTCCGGGTCAGCTCGCCCGGGACCATCTGCGGTTGTGACGGGCACGCGATGAACAGAAGCCACCGCGGAGCCGTAAAGATGATCAGCGCGTTCTAACGCCTCAACCACGCGGATGGCCTCATCTAGCGTGGCACAGCCCTCTCGGGTTATTTCTCTGCCGTATTCTGCCGGCAGCGCTCGCTGCAGCTGGAGAAGCGTCACACTAGAGCGGCCCTCCTCGCTCAAATGCGGATATGCATGGCGCACTCCAGCCCTGACTCTCAACAAGTAATCTTGGATGTTGCCACGGTATTGTTCCGCGTCAATAGACCTGGCCGCGGATAGCTGATCAGGTGTTCCGCCTAAAACCTTCTTGGCTGTGATATCAACTTCCTCCAGAGTCTCAAAATGTGTCTGACGAAGAGCTTCTTTTACGTTTCCTTCCACAAAGAAACGGATGAAACTAACCTTTTTCTCGGTCGTCCATTTTTTTAGCTCCCCGAACAGTTTGAAGTCGTCAAACCAGTTTTCCCATTCTTGATACGACGTACCAGTAAACTTGTCGAGAGAAATATCTCCAGACATCTTGTGTGAGCCTGTGAGTGCACACCGCTGCCACCACTTTGGCGTGTTCTCGGGCTCCACACACACAGGGCTCCTTTCACAGTCTATTCCAGACCCCAACTGACCGCCCCGGACCAGCGAGTACCCGCCAGGTCGGGGTTCGGCCAATCACAACGCACCAGATCCACACGGCCAATCACACACTGCCACACACTGTCCACGTCATGTTACCCCACTCAGGCCGCTGCGCCACTATGGAGGTGCAAACACACCACACCATTCCATTCCTCCAACTCACAACTCACAACACATATCTGAGCACTTGAGGAAAGTTAATTTAGTCCCTTCCCCGCTTAAATTACTCGCGCTTCCAAATGAACACCAGGAAGAAGGTAATAGAACACTGTTAGGAGGGTTAGGTGTTTTCCTACATGTAGCAAAACACCCAACCCTCCTAACAGTGTTCTATTACCTTCTTCCTGGTGTTCATTTGGAAGCGCGAGTAATTTAAGCGGGGAAGGGACTAAATTAACTTTCCTCAAGTGCTCAGATATGTACTGTGCAATTACACCGCTAACGGTGTTAATATTTTTCTGTGTGTGCATCAATAAGAAATTAGAAAACATTTCTCACCTGTGAGTTTGACCGCATCTTGTGCATGACTTGAAGCAGTGTTTTCGAGTGTTCCGGTGCCGAGAAGAAGCTGTTTTCCAGCGGAGTCGTGGGTGAGCCGGGACTCGGCTGTGTGGCCCACGAGGCGACACTCATTGTTGCAGGTTGTCAGCAACAGCTTCAGCAGCTCTGTGGTCTCCGATGAATGGTTTCTAGAGGAAAAAGGGAAGTTGTTGAGATGTGCGTCTCAAAACGGTTTAAATGAAAACCATAGTGTATGGTTTTTGTATGTGTATGGTTTGGTGTAGTGTATGTATGGTATTTAAGAAAACAGGGATTTTTCAGCGTCACCTATACATCAATCACTTAAACATCTTGAAGTTCTATCATATGGCATATGACCTATATTTAGGCTTCTATTTTTATGTTATGCATAAACATATAAGCTTACAAAATTTAGCGGTATTTTCGCGCGCCAAAAAAGTTAACTACCTCGGTAGGCAGAAACACATCACTGGCCTAGTCACGTGCTCAACGTCTGTTTTCAACATCAAGCTCTTGTGCCTTGCGTGAATGAGGCGAACCGGTCCGGATTGCGCAAGGCCCTGGATACCGCAGTACCTATGTGTACTGATGAGATATTTGAATGCATACCATTTTTGTTTGTGTAGCTTATGAACCCTTGTAATGATATTGTTTCTAGTTCTTGCGCATGAAACTTTGATATGGTAACAGTAAATTCCACACTTAGCTGAAGTTTCGACTATTTGAATGTGTACGCATTTGATGCAAGGGATAAACATCGGGTCTATAGAATCCTTCGAGGGCCTGGCATGCCTTCATATATGGACTACTGCCTGGAATGTCAAGAAGACAGATTTCAATAACTGTAAGTATGCTTTTATCATGGCTGCCGTAAATGTAACCGTCTGTATTTTTGCCTTTAATATTTTTCTTAAATACGCGTCAAAATTAAGGCGCAAAATAACATGAGGCAACTAATCATTTAGTAGCATTACCTATCACTTGCGCATTATGCACATGGAAGAAAACAAAGCCAAAGTCCGGAACGTGTTTTTAATCAGCTTTATTTTGTGCTTATTCCATTGCTTTAATTTTATCGCCAAAGGATTGCCATATTTTTTGTGAGCTTATGAAATGCACTAGCTTAATAACAGCAGCTGAACGATTAAATGTCTTTCTTTTTCTGTAGGAAATTCATCGCTCCATTGAATTCAGCAAGTCAGTTGAAGATGTGGAAGCTCAGCGACTCGGAGCGTCGGCTGGCTCTGATCGTTCCCAAGCTTATGTCACGCCATCAAATGAATCCTTCAATCAGAATCGTCTGTCCATCCCTGGAGCCGAGACTCTGGCAAGCAAGCCGGGACTCAACGCATCCCAGCACGTCGGATTTGACGCCGGACAAAATCCCGCCAAAGTCATTGAGCGGGCATCCCAGTTCTTGCTACAGGACGATGCCCCTCCAGCAGATGATCAGCAGGACACTGGTGTGAAGGCGGATGATACACTCATGGTCCTTGCGCATCCGATGATGGACCCAGGGTCGGGAACTTGCAGCTATATTCAATGGGCCTTGAAAAGGGGCCTGGAACACATAGCACTTCGTCTTATAATCGCAGCGATGATCATTGCCGACATAACGCTGATCGTGATAGACCTGATCACACGGGACATGGATCAACACTTTTACTTCATCCAGTGCTCTTTCGTCTTCTCATGGTGTTTTGTACTGGAGCTTTGCTTGAGAGCATTTGCATTTGGGCTCTGCTTCTTTCGGTTCTGGTACAACATACTAGACATTCTCATCATTGTTGCTTCAACTGTGGGTACAACGTACATATTGGTAGATAGAGTTCAAGAGGGAGAGTACTTCTTGCTTCAAGACAGACGTTCACCTGGATTTTGGCACTTCATATTTGCGCTGAGATTCTGTAGGCTGGCTCACTTCCTCCGGCTGCATTATGAAGCCGAAAATATCAAGCGTGCTGCAAGGCAGCTTGTTTCACAAAACAAGAGGCGTTACAATATCGATGGATTCGACCTTGACCTGACTTACGTCACCGATCGTGTCATAGCCATGAGCTTCCCTTCCTCAGGTCACATGACCTTGTACCGAAATCCCATCACCGAGGTTGCTCGGTTTTTCGAGACCAAACACGGTGGTCACTACAAAATCTTCAATCTCTGCAAGGAAAGAGGATACGACACACGGATTTTCGACGACCAAGTGGAAAGATTTTACGTTGAAGACCACAACCCGCCCACGTGCAAAGACATGTTAAAGTTTGCTAAATTGTCATCCGAGTGGCTGGATCAAGACGACAAGAATGTGATAGCCGTGCACTGCAAGGGCGGCAAAGGCAGAACAGGCACAATGGTCTGCGTTTACTTGGTGGACAACGGACTCTTCTCCACAGCAGAAGACAGCCTAGACTACTTCGGATCCCGTCGGACGGACACTACTCAAGGTAACAACTTCCAGGGCGTCGAAACCCCCAGCCAGTGTCGCTATGTCGGATACTACGAGGCCATCCGCAACCACAAGCACAAACTTCCCAATGAGGTGGAAATGACGCTCAGAAGTATCCGCATCTGGGGAATGTCAACGGTCGGAAAAGGAGACGGATCTGACCTAACTCTGCTCATCGAGTCAGCAGAGGAAGGCAAAATCTATGAGAACCACTTTGGCAAAGGATCTCTGCGCCTCTACGACAAAGACGTAGACGAGCTGTTCGTGACGTTCCAGTCGGTGCCGACCTTCAGAGGCGACATCAGGTTCAAGTTCAAGTGCAGCTCTCGGAAAGTGCCAAAGGGTTACGAAAAGACGGCGTGGTTCTTCTGGTTCCACACTGGCTTCATCAACCACAATCGTCTGAAGCTAGAAAGGTCCGACTTGGACAACCCTCACAAGAACAAGACATGGGATGTGTTCCGAGAGAACTTCAGTGTGGAGTGCTCCTTCCAAAAGGTGAAGAAGGAGAAGGCGGCTCCCCAAACTCGACATGGCAACTTCAGCAAAAGGCTGTCGAGGATGTTCACCATAAAAGTGAACCCAGCGAAGATTACCAAGCGCAAGGATCGAGGAGGAAAGTGGTGAGTCCGGTCACCCGTCAGTGGTATGTGGAGTATCAGGCTATGTGTGTATGAGTGTTGAACGTGTGAAATACAGGACTTTCAATCTGTATTTTGTTCATTTTTATAATCACCGCGAGTGAAGATGTTGGCCTATCACGAGTTGTTACCAAGAAAAGCTTAGGCTAAATGTTATTTTCAAATTTATTTGTAGTAATATTGTTCCTGATAATCTTTAATTAAATTATCCTATAAAAATAAGTAGGTACACCGTACAACAAAAAAAAAAAATTAACCCGCGCCCCACTGGGGGGCTATTTATAGCCCCCTCCCGTTTTTCTGCAATAACTTCCAAACCGCTTGACGGATCGACGCCAAACGTTCAGTACCTTCGGCTGCATCAATTTGACACCTTGTGTCAAAATTTGAACTTCGTACCTACCATAAGTCGGCCGGAAATGACGTCAGAGTGACGTCATGTTCGTCCGATTTCGACGCAAAACATTGAACCACGGTAATCGCTCCCAAGAGCTCAGTTTTTAAGCTAGATCCAATTTCTTTGCATGAAAGGACTCAGAATTGACCGCGCTATCAAACTGTTATCTCGGATTTTCAAAATTTTGAAAATTTCGAAAATTTTATATAATAATATTCAAAGTTTATATTTTTATATTTTTTCAAAAAGTTTTTGACTTTTCGAAAAAAAAACAGAATATATGTGACAGAACGCATGATTATGACTAGCTCTAGAAAGTTTTAGCTAAATATCTTCAAAAATGGCCAAGTTATACGCATTATTGCAAAAAATTCAAAATTATTAATTTTTCAAATCAATTTTTCACTACGTATTTGACATCGTACACCAATATAAATGGCACCATCGTGTTCCTGAGCTGAAACTGCATCCAATAGACATCTTTTTTGTTGAAAAATTTTAACTTCAAAATTTGACCTTTTTTGACCTGAAAGTGACCTGACCTAAGCTAAATTCGACTCAAAATGACCTCGAATGACACGGACGACATCAAATTCGAAATCTATGGCCTAAATGGACCATAAAACGTGTCACGTGACCGACGCATGATATAATATTTTCGTGACCTGTGATGACCTAACCCTGACCTGAAAATCAAAGTACAAGTTTGGTACCCTCAAGGTATCTAGAGCATCTGTTCACGAGTGTGGAAACCACAAATGTGCCTGATCTGACTTGTAAGACGGCGGCCAGAGCCCAAAATGTGAACAAGCCAAAATGCTAATAATTTTTACTTTGACCTGACCTGTGACGTCATCGGTGACCTCGAGATCAATGAAATTAGGTTTCGATCGACAGTTTTCCCGGGGCTATCAGATGCCGTTTGAATTTTGACGATCGGCCCAGTAGTTTCGGAGTTAGGAGGGGGGAGGCTATGAATAGCCCCCCTCCCCCAGTAGGGCGTGTTATACACAGACCCCAGTGGGGCGCGGGTTAACTTAGTCTTTCCGAAATCATAATATATCTTTCTAAACTTCCCCAGACCATTGTATTCCCTAGGTAGGTAGGGGTCCGTGAAGTCTCGGCAAAGCGCCATTCCCCTATCGGCTAACGGACGGGCCGTCCTGGCAAGACCGTGCTCGGCTAATTGAGACCACCACAGGGCCCTCTGGTCAATCGATGCGCGGCTTTACGCCCTCCCCACCCAGCTATCGTAACAATAGCGCCGGTCAAGAGACCACTTACCGCGGGATAACGGCGGAGGGTGGCAGTGCGCTGAAGGGGAGCTCCTGAACGGTCATAACCGGTGAGGGACGGCTGCTCTCAATGAGGTGAGGTCAGGTGATGGTCTGATTTAGTGCGAGTCTCGAAAAGATCCTTCGCGTCTTGTGTCAATCAATCTTGAGAATGAGATGTGAGCTACTCGTGTACCGTGCCTATTCTAATGGTCCTGTGTCGACTATTATTGGACCAGGAACGACAACCCCCATGTGCGTGTGGTACGCGTGCGTTGCGTGTCTGGCACCGTCTGTGGACCGATTACCAGAGAGTCTGTTCGGGACGTATCGACAGCCGTGAATGGTAGCCAATCAAACTGTGATTGGAGCACTGCGATTGGCTACAAGGGGTGGATATTGCGTACGATGAGAAAACACTTAATAGTAGAGAAGGATCGGTTTCAAATCACAGTTATCATGAACGCGCCAAACATCAATATTACACCCTATATATAGCTTGAAGTTTGAACATCGGGCGCCAATTCAATCTGTACGAGATAATCACAGCGCGACCACGGATCTCGACCATCTACGATCTCTGCTAGTCCGTAACGTCATACAGCACACAAATGAGTAGTTTTTACGGGACGGCAAAAACTCTTGGCGACAGGCACGGGTTGGATTGAGCCACAGAGAGCCGAACAGCCAGCCCTGTCAGTCAGCACATCACTCCCAGTTCGACAGCTGACGGTGTGTTGCGGGAGGCAGCAGGGCTTCAGCCTGCCCGCCTGGCAGCAGCGGGCCGCGCACACCTGTGTCCCGCGCCAGCCAGCTCAGGCAGGGGTGGTAACCGTCGGCTATCGATCCCCGTCTGGGTCATGTGTGCCGAGCCCCCGACCCGGCGACCCGCCGGCCGGCCCCCCCAGCCACCGGAGCCGTCGCCATCCGCGCCACAGCTTTGATGGCAGAGTACACAGCACTGGGTGACCCGGCGGGCATCTCATCACGGCGGCTGTTTTAAACTCTCACCGAGTGTCAACATCGAAAGGGCACGGCCGGTGAACTGGCTGATTGGTAAACACTGCGGTGATTAGAGGACAGTGGATTTGATTGAATTTACTTGCGAGCACTAGCGCCAAAGGCAAAATAAAAAATCACAAAATCATTCAAAACCACCAACCGGTAAGTAATAGAGTAATGTGTGCGCATCCCTTACATCAAAACTCTACATACCGCTACATACAACAACATTATTTAATCTCAAAGTCAGCACCATCGTACGTGGCATTGGTCAAATGGTCACCATAGCAGTTAACTGGTCAATTTCGATGACATTTTCCTTAGATGCGACGCAATTCGTTTCATTGATAGTGGCTGAGATATCGTTCATTGATTCATTTACGACCGATTTCCAATGCTGTTCCCTGAGATTGGTTGCAATACCTGCGGAAAGACATAGCTCGCGGTGCTAAATGTTTGATTGGGGCCTATCACCACCAATATCGGTGACAATTTATTATTTACGTCTTTTCTGTCAAATTTACGTGGGTCAACATGCTTTTCTGATTTTAACAAAATAGTGATCTAAGGGGAAGTTTAAAATAAAAATCCACTATTCGATGAAATTAAGCACGATTTATCTAGCTTTCAAAATGCGTATCATTATCTGAGAGCGTAATCAAGCATTTAAGATCAAGTATTAATTTTTTCATTCCATAATCGAATCCAATCCAAATCTAGTAAAAAGTACGATGTTGCTGGTACATACAACAAAAGACAGGTACAGAGATAAAATAAGGCGTCATTCGTCAAAGCACCTGTATGAAAAGCGCATCTTTTTTCTCGAATATACATAAGACATTGGATTATAAAATATTTGACTGTACGTCGTCTGAATTCACTAAACCCGCCAAATACCAACAGGCAACATAACCATTTGTTATGACACCAGCAGGCGCTTACTGTCGGCTGAAGAAACACTTGATGTAGAACGCGGAAGGTAAATATTTGGACAGTCGATCCCCTCAACGTTTTCCTCATATCACGCGTTTTTGTCTGTAGGAGGGTCAACGATATAGCTTATTTCCGTCGGCTGTATACAGCCGACGGAAATAAGCTATATCGTTGACATAATACATAATAAGCTACATACACGACATAATAAGCTATATCGTTGACAACTATAGTTGTCACCGTATAGATGGGTAGAGTTTGATAAATAATTATCTTTTACATAGGTAAAAGTGTGCTTGTTTGGGTCCAAGCCCCTATTAGTGGCAGGCTCCTGGCTACGACAAATGTTAGCGTGAGGTTTCTATCCTGGCAGACCGTAGGATGTAGACTGGCTTACAATTATTAATTTTAGATATTCCCTTTCAGGACACGAAAACACCGCAGAACGACGCAAACTATATTCGTCAATTTATTGTTAAATGCTATTTATTCTATTTATTCTATTCTTTCTATTATTCTATTATATTTATTCTAAAAGCTATTTCAACCGTCTCACATTAGGTACCGGCGTGATCATGAATACAACCGAGCGAGCGTAATCCCATTTTATCCCAAACACAACACCAACTGCATTCCCTTCCTCCCCGTCACCTCTCTCCCTTCGACTCACCTCACACCTTCCCGCGGCAGCTGCACGTCCCGGTCCGTCCGCGGTCACTCCGCTCACCGCCCGTCACTGCCCGCACCGCCCACCGCTCTGCTCCGACCGCCCGGCGGCGGCGGCGGCGGCGGCGGTGGCGCACGCGCGTCGGTCGCCGCCGGCTATTGGTCAATAGGGGGCGGCTCACTATTCAAATGGCCTGCAAAAGTGGGTCGCCGACCGTGATGATGGGTCAGTGGATCTGCTATAAAGTAAGATGACGACGAGGTGGGGCGGAGGGGTTGAGATTATTTATCCCGTAAGAAAATAATGATAGGCCCTGTGGGGCGATCGCTTCGTATCAACAAAAAGAAAATGCTACATACCGACGTCAGTGCATGCTTCTGTTTCTCTACCAGACATTTGATAAATGAATACCTATCCCCCGTCCTCTGAGCTCCCCGTGCCTCCTCGGTAGCTTATGACCATGTTCCATGATTTCGTTCTCAATCTCGACTATCGTCCTTTCGTCCTCTGACTTATAGGTAGGTAATAGAGAGAGAGTAGAGAAAATGCGCAGCAAATGGCACACATGGGATCGTGAAAGGATAAAAGGGTTTCAAACTCTTCAGCAGCAATAGCTGATATTCACTTAACATAGGAGAAAGATCATATAAGAAGATCGCTCAAAGAGAAGACTTCGCCAACTGGAAGACACCGAGCGACCATTGACCAACAGATTATAGGTAGTGTGCCACCTTTGAAAGATTTCCCATTTTATTTTTCCTAGGATAAGAAGCTTCTGTTTTTACCTCATATCGCAAAAAAAATCAAAAATGGGCCTGGAATAGTGCCTTTTTCGCCTAAAAGTTTATCGGTTTTTCGATATGTATAACAATTGTAGTGGGCTGACCTGTAAACAGGCGTCGGCAACAATCGCGAATGCGGCGCACATGTGACAATAAGCAAAGGTCATTATAGAGTTACGACGTACGGGAATGAGTTATCAGCTGTCTAATCGTAGACAATACCATAGAGATCTTATAATAATAAGATCTTATAGAAGTATATATTATAGTAATAAGATCTTATAGAGATCTTATAATAATAAGAATCTTATAATAATATTATAAGATCTCTATGGACAATACAATGTCGAGCCTTAAACTGTAAGCCTGTATTGGTATTGTTTCTTTTATTTGGCTGTCGAACATTATTTATGGTTTGAAATATGATTTTATGTAAAATAATTGATATGAAAAAGCCGTCTCTTAAGTTATGACCCCATTTCACCACACGCAAGTGGCAGAAATGACCATGATCAGCTGACACATTTTTCTTGGCCGAAGTCAGAGCGCGCGGCCCGACGCACCACCACCGCACCACAAAGTATGAGCAGAAGCGGCGCCCAAAGCCAGGGCCCCGGTAACGTGAGGTAGCCGAGTCGGGGCAGCGTGCGCTGACCCAAGCCGGGGCCGCAGCTTTGGGCGCGGTCTACCGCATCCCCGCGGGCAGCCCCGGGCTATCACATGACACCGGGAGGACGCGCGGCTCCGGCTTGGGTCAGCGCACGCTGCCCTGACTCGGCTACCTCACGTTACCGGGGCCCTGGCTTTGGGCGCGGTCTACCGCCCGCACCACCTAACAGGCGTGTTACACGAAACCGCAGGAGATGATGAACGGGTTTATCGAAACTTGATTGGATGAGCATATCGGTAATAGCGATTTCAGTGTGTGCATTTATTGTTCATAGTGGTGTGAAATGTGGTTGGGGTACGACCGACAACCCGTCGGGGCGAATTTCGCACTGGGGTACTCAAAATTTGAAGAATTTAAGACGTTTCCATGAGTTTTGAAGGTATGGATAAGTTCTAAAAATCCGGTTCTCCTTATCCGGGCCATTAACTCCAAACGGTCCAGGAAAGCTGGCACACTACCTTTATGCAGGCACGGGGCAGCAGCGGGCCGAGCGGCGAAGGAAGCCGCGAGGCTGTACCGCAGCGCAGGCGTGTCATGCGGTACAGTCTACCTCTACCTTCCGACTCGCCGGCCAGCTCCGTCGAGGAGGCGTCAAAGCCGTTTTCCTCTGGATATTATGATACTGTTCCAACGAGGGGGACAGGATCAACTAAGATCGATGCATTTTTTTTCTCTTGCATTTCCTCGACCAGTAAGACAACATCTATTTCATGATATTTCTCGCGTATACAGGGGGGGGGGGGGGGATCGAACGGCCTCGCTCGGTTTTTCGCGAATAACTCGCGTAAAGAGCTGCCGAGCATGACGAAACTTTCAGTACCCCCGACTCCCGAGTTAATCAATTGTACACATACCGACTAAGAATGTCATGACCCTGAACTCAATGACCTCTGACCTGTGACTCATTTCTCGAGACCATATGTTTGGCCGGAATCGCGATTCGGCGTATGTCGGCTTGCATTAGCTGCGCGTTTGCAGTCTTTTCATGTTTTCACAAGCGTTCAAACACGTGACATGATGCTGGTCCCATGCATTAGGGTGGGTGTCAGGGTCACCTGGAGGTCAGGTCGGGTCATGGACCTTTGATGAACTCGGGTCACTTCTTCGAGTTTTACATGTTTGAAGGCTAGTTTTTGAAGCTGAATTCGAATTTAGAAGCCATTTGAACATTTACGAAGTAGTTTTGATGCTAGTTCGTAACATGTTACGAAACTATCAGGGGCGGTTGACACATACTACGAATATCCGGCAGGACCCCTACTTGTTGACCTGAGCTGACCTGACTCGACCTGGCCTAAATGCATGAGGACATCATCTGTGATAAGAACTAAAATGATATTCGTGATCAGCACCCTGACCCCCCCCCCCCCAAAGCCACACTTTACGGCGCTCTAAACAGGTCTCGATTTTCTCTTATGGTCACGAGCAGCACGCTTGTCTTTTCCGCGAAGCTCTAGCTTGATCAGTGGCCAAACGGCAAAATGCGGGAGAGGGTTAACCCTCGCCGGCCGAGGGGGGGGGGGCGGGTGCCGCCCCCCCCCCATAGGGTTTTTTCGCGATAGCTCCGAACACGCTGACGATAGGGAGCTGAAACTTGGCATACCTGACCTTTGATCCAAGCCGCATCTTTTGACACCAACCGCATTTTTGGGTCAGGTCAGGTCACTGACCTATGACGTCATAAGTGAACCTCTGCACGGTCTTCAGATGTCGCAACTTCGCAACGCCCTCACTGCCAGAGGAGATGTCACAGGGAAATGAAACTTGCAGGATCTAGTATCCATTATGAGTCTCACAACTTGCATATCTCGGATTTTTCCTAAAGGTCATATGAGGTCAGGTCATTTTCGTGACCTCACCATTATAAGTCAATGGGGAAAAATGAAAACTGCTATTCTGGCGCCGGGAACGATCTCCAACTATCTCAAGCACACAGAATCGTGATTTGATGCACTCCTTGCAAGGTTAGATGCGTCACTTTTGCAATGTTGACCTTGCGTGACGTCATTTATGACGTCATCAAGGTCATATTAGTTTTTCGTCAATAACTCTTGATCAAATTGAGCTAGCGAGTCGAGAAAGCCACCAATGGACTCAGGAAGACCTGCCGAATCGAATGATATGCGACATGACCCCTTTCGACCAACTTCGTGACCTGGGGGTGCTGACCTGACCTTGACCTGAGGTCAACACCCCAAGTTGACCTGACCCGGACAAAAAGTATATCATTCGACGCGCCTGAGCAAGGCGAACACGATGCTGCCAAAATCGCGGCTCTGCGGCCGTTTTTTGCGAAGTTATTCACCAAAAACTGAACCGTACCCTGGGGCACTTGACCTGACCTCAGAGGTCACCGGTTGACCTAGGACCTTAAAATCGGGTACCAATCTCTGCGTCTCGTAACGGCGCACACGCTCGTTTTTTTCCGCGACGCGCTAGCTCCACCAGGGGCGAAACGGCGAGGGGGGGGGGTCGTACCCGCCCCCCCCCCCCTCGGCCGGCGCGTATGTAGAAAACCAATAGGTCCGGCGAGGGTTAAACGTTCGCTTCGGAAGATCCATGTGTTACGGAATCGAATCATAAGACTTTGTTGAATTATATGACACGACCGAAGATTGAAATTTTCAAAGCAACCGCTCAGTCAGCGCAGCCATCGAAAACAGCTTTCTTTCCTTGTGCTGTCATTGACGCGGCCTGGCTATCGCATCGACTTGGAACTAAAATGTTCACGAGTAACGTGTGCTTGCACCAATAGTTCAGGAGTGGTATTCCTTATTTACTGTACACGTGTGAGCCAGTGATGCATATCTTCACTGTCATGTCTCACCTAAACAATATACCACAAAACGCCAACGAGTAACTAGACGAAGAATGCCATTCGTCACAGATGATCTGCATCACAGAAGGGTATGTATTGGACGATTGGGGAACACCACACGAATCATGGTCATCGCATCGAGCCCCCAGAGCTCGGTCAGTTCAAGGGAGGGGTCGGCAAGTCAGGGTGCACACAGGACCAAAATACAAAAACGTCGTCAAGGCACGTGCCCCACATACTCCTGCCCTTGACATCGGACAATACAGAGGCCACAAACAACATGTGACCCGAGCTTGAAGCCTACTTCAAACACTTGTTTCTATAAAACCGACCCCTCTATGATTGCTCCCCCGCGGCACACAACTCGGCTGATCCTACCCAAAAATGGCATAACACCACACACGACACCAAAATGCAAATAACGGTCACAGAGCGGCGCACGGGAATTCACTGCACACACACTGTCCCCTTCCACTCCCTGCAGCAGCCCCTGCTCCTCGAGTGGGGACCATTCATTCACTTTTTCAGTTTCTGAGCGCGCGCCGGTGGCGCCACCTGTGACAGCAGTCCGCCGGTGCGCCAGAGTCCGGCAATCAGCACCAGGTGGCAGCAGTGTAGCGCCGCCGAGCTCAGCGGCGTCGACGGGTAGGTGTTCCAGCACAGCTCGATGACGCCCAGCAGGCAGAGCCGCGTGACGGGCGCGAACGGCGCGCTCCAGAGCAGGTACGGCAGGCTGTGGTAGTACCACACGTAGAACTGGTAGTGCAGCGAGCGCGCAAACGCCATGCCGATCAGATTGGCGGTGAAGAGCGGC